TGTTACCTAATCGTTTAATTGGCTTAAGTTTGTAGAGTTTTTTTTCCAACGCTTCGTTCCCCCTCGTGCTTTTATTACTCGTTTTTTGGCTTTTATTTAATTTAATTTTTATGACAACTTTGTGCTTTGTAATGCATTTTAAACGCATCGCGGCATCATCGATTCCCACATTGTTAGCCGATTTAGTGGAGCATGCTGAAAACCAAAAGGGAAGAGGAAATGTATACACATACAAACATACACACTGGGGAGATCATCAAACAGCAGTGTGCCCTGTATTTTTATTGGCCAACTTGCGTGTTTTTTGTATATGACCATTTTGCTTTCGTTTATTCCGCAAAAGGCAGAAGTCAGAGCTCAGTCCAACGAATGCATAAACAAAATAAATGCGTGCACGATTAAATATATTGATGCTCTCGAGTTGGTTAAGGGATTTCATTTGATCACCCTGTCCAATATACCCGTTGAGCTCCATTTCTGTTTTTTCCTGGGTATGCATGGGTAGCAAAGAGTTGAAATAGTTTATTTATAGCCGTACACTCGAAACCGGTATTTATAACTGCAATTGGGCGAGAAAGAAGCGACGCGACAGAAGCAGGCACTATCAAATGATGATGATGATATTAGTGCCAAAAATTATAATAGTAACGCGCAACAGCTACAACGGGAGCAGCATACACAAAAGAAAAAACAGCTGTTCATTTGGGGACATCACGTACCCAGACCATCGCCCCACCGCCGTGCCCCCTCCCTCTTTTGGCTTTTGTGAATGTTAACAGTTATTTCGGTTACGAAATATAAACTTTTTTCTCTTATGTTTTTTTGTTGGACGAGAGTAGTATTTTGTGCTTGGTCATGACAAAGCTTTTTCCGTTTCTCGTTTTAGTTTTTTTGAGTCTCTTTTTTCGAGCGATTCGCATAATTGGCCCATATTTCGTATAAATATGCAACAGAAATCGGAAATGTATTCTGTCTCGTCTCGCGTCCCCGCCTTTTTTGTTTGTAATTGTTTTAAATGCGGAAGTGAAGCTTACAGTCAGCCAGCCAGCCTGTTTTCATTTCATTTGGTTTCTTTTCGTTTTCATTTCATTATATTGTAGCCCGTACCCTTAAAAGCTGTGGGTACTATAATATTTACCAGCTGTTTGCCATGCAAAAAAGTACTCCATAAAGTATTTCATATTTAAATATATATAGTATTTGTGTGCTTGATTTATGTTGATGATCTTTCTTATGAATGAAATATAAAATATTTATCAATTAGGTGGAAAGATAATAAATGGAGTTCCTGCACTCCTATATTTATCTGTAAGAGTATCTATAGCTTCGACCGCTGTAGATAGCCTGAATTTGTTGCTTGGTTTTTTGGTATGGGGGCTTATCAAGGTTGTTGTTGCGTAAAAGGAAGTGCAAATGGTTAGAAAGTTTTATGGGTAGACGGAAAGATGGTAAGATGGACTGACAGGCCAGGGAATGGGCCACTGCGTGTGGTGTGTGTCTGCCCCTTCGATGGCTCCGCTACAGGCTGTGTCAATGTCAGCGGCGCCTCCCTCTGCCCATCTCTGTCTCCAGGCAGCAGGCATCAGGCCGCTTTCCAACTGCGGGAGAGAGAAAGTGCGAGTCCGCCGAGCGAGTGCGCTCGCGCAAATGTTTCAAAAGTGGATCAGCGAAAGAAAAATAAACGTAACCAGGCGGCGTGCAACATCAGCAGCAGCAGCAGCAGCAGCAGCAGCAGCATTGTTGGCAGATCGCGTGAGCAACGCTGCCTCCTACGAAGATGCTGCTGCATTGGGTGGAAAGAAAGCCCCCATACCATTCGCTCTGTGCATAATCATTGTGTGTGCGCGCGCACATTTCCAATTGATTTTCCATGTGACGCAGCACAATTGGTGTTTCAGTTGCAGTCTTTTGAATATGGCGCTCACGGATCAGTCACGATCGTCCAAAGACCCAAAGAGTCTCCACCAGCCAACGGGCAACAGGCAACAGGCAAGAGGCAAGAGGCAACAGCCACAGCCATTGCCACTGCAATGCTGTCCAACTGGTTTCCCACACGCATACGATACGTGTGTTTGCCGAGTGTGTGGAGTGGAGTGGAGTATGGAGTGCCTGAAGTGCACCTTAAATTGTGTTTCATTATTATGATTTTAATGCCAGATTGTCTTAAGTGGAAGCATCGAATCGACAGTTCAGTTCACAGTCGTACAGTTGTACTTCTGTAACTGGAACTAGAGACTTAAAGATACAGATAGTTTTAAGAATAACTCATTGAAATGACAACATGGCTCAACCTCCCGATATAAACTTTTATATAACAAATGCGCGAAACACTCTACCAAGGTGGCAATGTAATGATATGAAATATGATATGTTTGACAGGCATAAAACCATTATATAACACTTGAAATTGTGTTTAATTGTTAGGGAAGTTTCATGTTGAGGCAGTTATCTGTTTGAGTTATGGGGAAATGTAAAGGCCATTACAAATACAAAATAATGCATCCCCCAAAACAATGCTTCCAAACAAATGCAAGAAAGTCGGCCCACCCTTGATCTGTAGGCTCCACTGTATGTAAACCCCCAACTGAAGCCAAGAGTAGCCGGAGAACGCCATTGAACATTGGCAGTCATTTGCTGGGAGCCCGTCGTCGCCTTCGATGTCGATGCCGTTGCCGATGTCGATCTCGATGCCGCATTGGGAAAGAAAAAACTGGTGCAAATGAAACAAGTTATCTAATTGCAGTGCTTCGAAGTGTGGCAAGTGGCGAGTTGACTTTTGTTTTCTATTCGGAGCAGGCCTCCAATCTGCTGTTGCTGCTCCTCCATCTCCACCACCTCCTTCTCCGATGTGGCTGCAACATGTTGTGCATACGAAATGGCTTGGCTAACCCAACACCACACAGACAGATAGATACAAATACAGATACAGACACTCTCGAGACTGGTGTGTGGAACAGGCTCTTGCCGCATTGGCCTCTTGGCGTTTTTAATCGCACCAAATTTCAATTTGAATTTCACTTTCTTTTTCGATACGCTCACTTGGGTTTTTGCCTTTCGAACTTTTGTCTTTTTTGTGTTCGTTTCTGTTTCTTAAGTTTTGTGGCTTTTGTGTATTTCATTTCTTTTTGTTTTCGAATGCAGAGCCAAAGCAACGACCATGAAAAATTATGTGAGATAGAAAGGGCTTTCTTGAGAAGCAACAGGGAGAAGGCACTTCCAAACACGACATGGCGTGACATCAGGCTCTCTCGGCTACGAACCGCATATTCAACCATTATTTGTGGATCTCGAGTTCGTTTGAGTCTGAATCCTACTCCACTCCTCTCCTCTCTGTAACCGTGTCAAGAGAGAGTAAATATAATTGATATGCGACCATTAGGCAATAAATAATATCGATTGGGGTCGCACAAAAGAGCGGTCAAAGGATGCCGAAGAGTCATACTTCCATTCTAACTAAATCAAACAGGAGGTAAATAGCACGAAAGGGTAAAAGCCACAGATCAAGATCAAGAAATATAGAGAAAGGTCTTCCAACAGAATAGAATAAGATACAAAAGAGAAAAGTGCCTTGCAAGAACGCTGGGAAAGAAGGAAATGTGTGATCTGAATTAAGTTAAATATCTGTCCTACATCCATATGCCTAAACACAGCTCTTAAACATCTCCTATTCGAACTACATATTATAAATATTTGAGGGGTCAAACTGTAGTTACATTACATAAATTTAAAAGATAGATAGATTTTCTGATCAGCTCTATAGTCTTATTTAGATAATCAAAGACTCTATTTAATATTTCTGCTACACGGAACTGATACTGATATATTGAATGTAGTCTTTTGTCTATAAAACATTTGTCTGGCTCTCAGTGGATACTTCAACTTTCCTCAAATTTGTAATATTGTTCATGGGACGCTTGGCTGGATGAACAAATTTGTTTTCAAATTTCGTCCGAAAGTGTTTCAGTCCCTCTCTTTGTGCTGCCTGCGCTGCTTTCCATATGTATCGTGTATGTGTGTGTGTGTGTGTGTGTGTGTCGTGTCGTGTCATGTGGGGCAATCAGTCATAAATTTGGTGAAATTATTTACCCATTCATCCCCCACCCACACCTGTTGGGTGCCGTTTAGGTGCCATCTCTAGGCTCGAAGAGAATGCGCGGGCGCACGCGTCAAGTAAAAGTTCCATAATTTACCATACCCCCCGCCCGCACACACCATACACCATACTAATATATCCACCACTCACTCTTTTCCTATCCCAACAAAAATAATAACAACTACAGGAACTTAAGTGGCACTCCCCCCAGTGTATCCCCCCATACTCGTGTTTATGCATCTCAAAATAGTTGGCATTGAGATTTGAGTTCTCAAAGTGTGTGATTGTGATTCTCGAATATTCTGTCGATAAATCAAAAATCAGTTTCCGCTAGCAACCAAGCAGTGCACACACACATACAATCAACACTCCAAAACAACACTCATCTACACAGAGGATAGAGAAGGCAACCGTTGGACGGATAGAGAAGAGGGACACCATTACCGCTGCTTCTCTCAACGAAAATATCCTGTTCTTCCATTCGCATTTTTTCGGGTGACGCATTTGCGTGTGCTGCGTAGTGTTTTTTTTTGCAATTTAAATTTCCATTTAAAATTATATTTCAATTAAATAACGTTCTTGTATTATTAGTTCTGCAATTAAAATGCCATCAAAATTATGTTAATGTAGTCAAGGGAGGGCAGCCAACAAGAAACCTGAAAACAAAACAAACCCCAGAACCCCAAACAGTAAAAAAATGCCGAAAACAGCAAGCGGCAACACACACAATATTATTTACAAAAAAAAAATCACAAAATTTATTAAAAAGTGAAAGTTTTTAGTCGTTTATTGCTGTAGTTGTGCACAAACAAAATTATCCGAGAGGGAAAAAGAAATGCAAAAACAATCATCGACTCTTGGAAACAAACCAAAAACAAAAACAGCAACAGCCAGAGCAGCAGTGGCCGCGGCAGCAACAGAAGCAGCGCAGCAACAAGCGCCAGCCAGCCAGGTCGTGAGAGGAGGAGTCCGAGAGAGTTTGTGCAAAGCATCAGAGGCCAGGTCGTGAGAGGAGCCCAGAGAGTGCGCCCAAACAGCAGGTCGCGAGAGGAGGCCAGAGAGTGCGAGCAGGCGGGTCGCGCGGGAGAGAGGGCCCGCGGTGGGCAACTGAGCGAACGCGTTCCACACATAACGGAGCCCAACTGGTCTGGTCATAATAGAATCCCCAAAGAGCAGCAACAGCAGCAAGCAACAGTAACGACAACAACAATATTTCTGCGACGAACCCCTCTTTTGAAAATGCTGTAAGAAGGAATAGACGCCACGGATAATAACAGAAGAAATGGGGGCGGTGTGGCGCGAAGATCTTTCGCGCCCCCGCAACCACGCCAGGTCCTCTACCATCCGATGGCCCAGGCATCCCATGTTACCGCCAATTGGAGAAATCCAGGTAACACCTGTAAGTGATCTCTCTCTCTCTCTCTCTCTCTCGGTCACTCTCTCGCTCACCTTGTATAAATATGCAAAAAGGCCAAAGTGAAGCAAAGGCGGAAGCAATTTGATTGCTTGTGCATGTCACTTTCACCGTTTGTAATCTCAATGTGTGTGGTGCGGTGTGTGTGTGTATGGGGGGAGAAAAGAATGAAGATCAAGGTAGATCAATACAAGGTGCGGCATTCCTAGAAGAAGCCCGGCCGTTAGGCAACTCGTTAGAGCGCTAATGAGTCACCTGTGGGAACGTCTCACCTGCTGTTTCTGCACCCTGCTAAAAGTGGGTCATCCAGGGAGAGGTGTAGGCGTAGCTGCATGTGCGTGTATGCAAGTGTATGTGTGTGTGTGTGTGTGTGGGGTGTTAATTTCAAAATCGAATGACTCTCTTTGCATATCACTCACCAACTAACAGTACATTCATCTCTGTCTCTTTACAGTTACCGTGAATCCACCACCCCAGAGGCCATGGCTGCCCCTGGCCAAGCCGAACAAAACGCGTCCAGCCTGTAAGTGTTGTAGTCTTAAGCCTTTCCAGCAATTATCCAGGTATCCAGTATGACCTAGATATATTTGTATATATAACTGCCTGGATCTTCCAGTTGGCGGTTGTTGGGGACCAGAAACCTTTGGTAACCATGTATCAGCCTCAACCATATAATACAGATTTATGTACTTATTTAAAATATATTAATTGATGTTTTTCCTCTTTCTGTTTCCAGGCATTTTTACGGTCATGTGCTACAATGTGCTCTGCGATAAATATGCGACACGGCAAATGTACGGCTACTGCCCATCGTGGGCCCTGTGCTGGGAATACAGGAAAAAGTCAATCATCGACGAGATACGTCATTATTCGGCGGACATTATAAGCCTGCAGGAGATCGAAACGGAGCAGTTCTATCACTTCTTCCTGCCAGAGCTCAAGAACGATGGCTACGAGGGCATATTCTCGCCCAAGTCGCGTGCCAAGACAATGTCCGAGGTGGAGCGTAAATATGTCGATGGGTGTGCAATCTTCTTCAGGGCCTCAAAGTGAGTATTGGCTATATAGAATGGGAAGATGATTTTAGAAGATGCTAAAGTATGATTCACCCCACAGATTCACCTTGATCAAAGAGCACTTGATCGAATTTAATAAACTGGCGATGACCAATGCCGAGGGATCAGACAACATGCTGAACCGTGTGATGCCCAAAGACAACATTGGTCTGGCCGCTCTGCTCAAGGTGAAGGAGAATGCCTGGGAGCCGATGTCCGAGGTGACACAGATCTCACAGCCGCTGCTCGTTTGCACGGCGCACATCCACTGGGATCCGGAATTCTGCGATGTCAAGCTCATCCAGACGATGATGCTCAGCAACGAGCTAAAGACGATAATTGACGAGGCCTCGCACAGCTTCAGGCCGGGACACAAGAACGACTCAAACAGCGTTCAGCTGCTGCTCTGCGGCGACTTCAATTCGCTACCCGACTCTGGAGTTGTTGAGTTTTTGGGCAAGGGAAAGGTCTCGATGGACCATCTGGACTTTAAGGACATGGGCTACAAGTCGTGCCTGCAGCGCTTGCTCTCGAACGACACCAACGAGTTCACGCATTCCTTCAAACTGGCCTCCGCTTACAGCGAAGACATAATGCCGCACACCAACTACACGTTCGATTTCAAGGGCATCATCGACTACATATTCTACACGAAGACGGGCATGGTGCCATTGGGTCTGCTCGGACCGGTCTCAAATGATTGGCTGCGCGAGAACAAGGTGGTCGGATGTCCCCATCCTCATATACCCTCCGATCATTTTCCGCTGCTCGTTGAACTGGAGCTGATGCACACGGCCAGCCAGGTGCCTCCCAATGGGCTGATCAACCGACGGTAGCAATAGAATAGACGCGGCAGACCCACCACAACCACCATTATGACAACGACAACTACACGGACAGCAGCCACAATCGGAGGAGGAGCAAGTGTGAGCAGTGGTAGTGGTGTTGGTGGTGGTGGTGGTGTCGCCGGCGTCGCCATCAACAGCAACAGCAGCAGCAGTAGCGGTGGGGTAAATAATATCCATGGCAGCAGTTACAGGGGACGCAGCAACAGTGGTAGTGGCAGTGGAAGCGGCAGTCACAGCCACAGCCATCGCATTGTGACACAGAGAAAAATCAATCCTGTAGCAGGAACAGCAGCAGCGGCACCACCAACAACAGAGAAACAGCCACCACCACCGCCATGAAGAGAGTTATCCAATCCACGACCACATGCCGCACACACACAGACAAACAACTGACGTGGCGCTCTGTCCGCATCGAAGATTCAGTTTTAGTTATGTATGTTATAAAGATTTGATCCCTCAACCACCCCCCATACCCAACCACTCAACCGATCATCCTCAAAAAATCCCAATAAGTTATAAGTTGACGACGTTGTTGAGGCATCGCTCCTTTGTGCGCTGGTTCGCAAAGCGCGTTACCAATGCAAAACAAAAAACAAAATAATGATCGTAGCTTTTAAATGGAGGAAATTAACTTACTTGCAGATCTGTCCCTGTCCCTCGCCCTCACTTCACATTTGTTTGGTTTATCCTCATAATACACAAACACACACCACACACACACACAATCAACATTTTTCCCCATCGAATAAACTATATTTAAAGATACGATCGATCTGTGTACATTGTTTAGTTCTTGTAACAACCGAAAAAACGAACATAAATGTAAGCCAAATGTTTCATTTAACAGTCGTAGATCGTAAGAGAGCCAGAGAAAGAGAGATCAAGAGAGAGAGGACAAAATAGCAAAAAGAAAACCTAAACTATAAGTAAAAGGTAACGAAATAAACCTAAAATATTGTAAAAAATTAAACAAGATGGGCAAATATGCAGAATTAATTGATAAACAAAAAAGGTTTTAACCAAACAGAAGAATAATCAAAATGGGGGAAAGTGGACATTGTAAACCCAACTATATAGAGATACTCGGTACAAGATATGCAAACTTATGTGTATAGATATATAGCCAACCCACAAACCAATCAAACCCTTAATATGTATTGAATGTAGAAACAAAACAGCAAAGCAAGACCCATACCCAAAACCCGTGCAACCTCTACCTTTTCGTGGTGTTGTCTGCTTAAACGTCCACATATTGTAGACCTAAAGAGCTGCGCTGACTACTTTTAAGTAGATACATGTACATACAATACTATATCTGTTAATGCATAAGTGTCGTGTGTGGTATGGGATAAATGTCTAGCAATAGTATCAGTCGAAAAACAAATCCAAGCACCATCTCTCCATATTCAAATGTAAAATTCAAGCATTCAACATCAATTCAATATGAAAGTTTCAACAAATAATAATACTAAATGTAAATCTGATTGATCCGCGGCGCACATGGGCAGGGCCATCTTCATTCAGAGAAGCTCCAACACTCCCCTCATGCATACATACAAACATACATACGAATAAAAACAAGAATCAAATGTATAACAAAAGTTGTGTTCCTTTTAATTGGAGATCAAACAACTAGAGGAAATGCTTGCCTATGGCATTGGACTCCTTCAAACGTTCGGCTATGGCTGACCACAGCTCGGAGTTGCCCTGCTGCAGTGTTTCCATATTGCCAATAATGTAGAGAGCCCAGCGTGCTCGGGAAAGGGCCACACAAGCACGATTCGGCTTAGCCAGAAACCCTATATTGCCGGACGGATTGCTGCGCACTAGCGAGAGCAGAACAATGTTCGCCTCCAGGCCCTGGAAACTATCAACGGTCGACACCTGAACACTATTTGGATCCGTTCTATATTTCTCCGGCAGCTGCAGAACAATGAGAAATAATTAGCATTTGAAAGTTGAGGCGGAAATCTTTTTACGAACCGTTTTCTTGATGCGTTCCACTTGGGCATTGTAGGGTGAGAGTATGACGATATCACTGGCCTCGTATTTGCCTGTTTCCAGCAGGAATTCCGTCAGCTTTGCCAGCTCTTTGGCCTCGTGAACATTCTCAAAGGATGTATCTAGGAGCGCTTTCTCCGGTTCATTGTGCGACACAAAGAACAAGTTCTTGTGCATATTGCGGACGTCCTCGTAGACATTCACAGAGTCCGAGCAGAGCAGCTCCCCATAGATGGTGGGCACCAGAAGCTCCGAAATGCAGGGACGCATTCGGTACTGCACATTCAGTAGAGAGTAGGGCAGGCCCTTGTCGATGAGGCGCTCAAAAAGCGAGACTTGCGGCAGTTGGCTGCAGCCAGTGAATGGCTGTAACTGCTTGTGATCACCCACGAGAATCACGTGCTCCGTGTGAGGTGTTAGGCAGGCGAGTATGTGTGCCTCCTGAATCTCAGCTGCCTCCTTGAAGATGAAGCATTTCGATTTCAGCAGACGAAAAAGAAAGTTCAAACGAGCCGCGCACGTGGTGGTCATGGCCAACAGATCCTTGTTCCTAGCCAAATAATACTGGAAGATGATGCGCACAGTGTCCATTCGCTCGGCCACCTGTTGCAGCTGCTCCTGTGCGATTAGGGTCTCCTGGTAGCTCGCCTCGCTGCCATCAAAGTTGGCGTACAGCGCTTGAAGTCGCTGGAACTGCTCCTTGTATTCGGTGTTTACCAGCCACCACACGCGCTTTAGTCTTGGCGGCACCAGCTCCGGATCAAGCATTGAATTTGCATTGAATTTAGCTATTTGTGGATCGCGCGTCTGGCAACCGAAGCGCAGTATTTCCTTTGTGTACTTCGATACCTTCACCAGAAATTTGTCTAGAGAGTCGTTCGTGTAGGCCAGCACAATGATGGGTCCGGTGCCCAGCACTTTAGCGTTCTGTATCAGACTGTTGACCACCTCCACAGAGACATGCGTTTTGCCTGTGCCAGGCGGTCCCTGTATAATGCAGAACTCATTGGTGTAGACTGCCTTGAATGCCTCTCTCTGCCTATCATTTAAAGGCAAGTCCTGAGGTGGCTGTGCCGCCCTAAACGGTTTCCGATTGTACATGAGCTGAGCGTCAGATTTAATGTACGCTGGCGGCCGTATTTCAATCTGCGATAGTATAACTTTAAATTGAGAATATTCATTTCTTTGTATGCCACTTGCCTGTCCATCCACGATGTAGCGACGCATTGGGAACTGATCTGTGCTGCATGTGCTCAAATAGTTATGCACCCGAACATACGGCTCGAAGAACACGGGCGTCTGGAACATGAACAGTGGTCGATCGTAGATGTTGCCAATGTTGTGTTGCCTCACAACCTCCACACTTAGCTGGGGATTACACAAATTATTAAATTCATGAGGATAAAATTCTGTTATCACTTACAAGTCCTTCTTTTAGTTTGTCAGGCTTTGTGTAGCTAACGGTGCACAAAATGAGATCCTTAAAGTCCAAGCCAGTGGTCAGGCATAGCAGCGCACCCGTTTTGAAGTTGTCCAACAATTTTCTATTAATCTTCTTCGAGTCACCGGAAGCAAGTAGATTAATGAAAACCAAACTGTGCCGTTGTGCCTCCACGAATTCTGGATTCAGAGTTAGCTGTGTGCCGCGCCACAGGAGACGGCGTTTCTCCAGAGTATCGAGATTGCATCCAGCTCGTAGAAACTGAACGAATTCAAGTAAAGGCAGGAAGAAATCCTGCTGCAGTAAGTGGCGCTGTGTGTTTAGATAGTCTGCCACCTGGTTGGACTCAGTTGGTGCTGGTGGCTTCGATGGCTCCACGCTGTCCAACAGCAGCCTGTCGATCGTTGGGTAGATTTCACCCTTAACGTTTACCAACGTTGGCAGTGTGTCTGCAAACGCCTCCAGCTCTTGGCTCAAGTCTAAGGCTAGAAGCTGCGGCAGCTTGCCTTCTGAGATCAGCTTATTGCAGATGCCAACCAATTCGTAGCCCTGCTGGCCAAGCACTCCGATCTTATTGGCTCGTGCCATCAGCCAAATCATGTTCTTAAAAATCTGCTCAGATTCTGCAGTGCATTTGCCCAGCAAAGCGTTTGCCGAGATTGTAAGGGCAAAACGACGGAACGAATTGAAGATTACCGTCTGCTTGGAGAAGGCGGCCAAGAACTTATCATCGAAACCGCCCAGCTCCAGCTGACAGATCGACTTGAGCGCTTCCAAAAGTATGAAAAGTCGCTTCAGACTGTCATTGCCGGCAAGTTGAGCCCCAAACAAGTCACGTTCCTCTGACATGAAATAGAGAAACATATCCACGGGCGACATTTTCAGCGCCTTCGAGAGTTCGATGGTTGCAAAACGACCGGGAGCCTTGGTTTCACCTGCGCTGTTCTCCAAGTTAAGTTGCTTCAGACAGTCGGCCACTGAAATAACACATTGTAGAGCTCGGGAATTTCACCTTAAGGGGAATCATATGCATACACACGGCATGACGGCACAATATTTGCTCGTCCTCCTCCTCCTGCTCATCTTGGTGCTTCACCTGATCCTGAAAGCTCTGCTCAATCGCCTCTTCATCCTGATTAAACCAGTCATCATCTTGGGAAGCAGACATAATTGCTTCAAAATAATAATCTGTTGCAGCAGCTCAAGGTCAAGTCGGATTTGGAAAAACAATGGATATGATAGCAATGAACGATGTTTTGTGCAGATATCGCATGCACACCAACTATTCCGTGTTGGTCGCATTCCACTGCTTTTAAATTGAACAGTTTGAGAGCAGCAATTATACACTGTATATGAACAGGGTCTGGTGTGGATTTCCTTATCAAATTTATCCAAAGCTGTAGTGGAATGCGGCATTAATATGTATGTGGCCACTTTGGCGCCAGCTGAAACATCGAAATCATCAGAAAAACATCGTATATCATCGGCCGATTATGGTATATTTTTGTGGGTATGTGGTTATATCTTATCGATAAATCCGCGGTCACACAACAAGCGTTGCGGAATTTGTTAGCAAACATTTTTTTCGTAATTTTTGATAAATCTGATAAATCTTACACATGTTATTTTGCCTAGGGCTTATGCTCAGTTCGCCCGCGCTTTTTGTTTACAGAGATACAGTATATCCGCATATCAAATCCAATGGAAAACAAACGTAAAATGAGTCGAAAATTACCGCCGGAATCGGATGGGGATAGTTCTTTCGCAGAGCCGACAAATAAAAAGAGCAAGAGTGCCACAAATCAAGATGAGTCCGAGCAAGACATGAGCCGTATTCTGGCACCAGCCAACTGCAGTCGACAGTCAACAGACTCACGCAGCTCCCAGCGATCATATTCATCGTTCAATCTTTCGGTGAGTCTAGATCAGATTTAGTTATCATCTATCTCTAACTGTGTGTTTCATCTCATTTCAGTGCGAACCACAGCTTCCAAATGAATTTAATCGCTGCGGCAAGGTTATATCCATACACCTGGAGAATTTCATGTGCCATGAGAGTTTCACCGTGGATTTTGGTCCCAACACCAACTTCCTTGTGGGCAAAAATGGCAGTGGAAAGAGTGCCGTGATCACGGCGCTTTCCCTGGGTCTAGCCGGCAATGCTCGAGCCACTAGCCGTGCTGCCAGCATAAAGAGTAAGTCCTTGCAGCCAAAACAAATGCAATTTTCATCTGATTTATGTGTTTCCAGAGCTAATTAAAAACGGTGAAACGTCGGCCAAAATCGAAATTACCTTGTGTAATGTGGGAATGTGCCCCTTCGATGCAGAGCATATGGGGCCGCATCTGACGGTGGTGCGACACATACGCCAATCATCCTCAACATACGAGTTGAAGGATGCACGCGGTAAAATTGTCTCGAAGAAGTTAGACGATGTTAAACGCTTGCTGCGCCGCTTTAGCATTCACGTCGAGAATCCCATATTTGTGCTAAACCAGGACTCGGCGCGTGTATTTCTGAAAAAGTAAGTTTCCACCGAATGGATAAATGTTGATAAATAGATAAATACACATACAGACTGGAGCCATCATCGAATTTCACACTGCTGATGAAGGCAACACAGATGGATACTTGTGCTAGTGCACTGTCCGAATGCCTTGCTCTACGCCAAAAGCAGGCCAGATCACTGGAACATTTTAAAATGGTAATTCCAAATCGAATCGAAATATATATGTGGAGATGTTGACATGGTTTCCTATTAAACACAGAGAATGCAAGTGGCGGAAGGACTGGTGATGGCAGAGGAGGAAAAGCTGGCAGCACTCAGGGATAAGGAAGCAGTCAAGGCAAGTGGTTGCTGTTCTGTGCACTAAATGTTATATTTTTATTAACAATTTGCTGGCACACTTTCAGTTTAAGTTAGCCGAGGCCAACACCAAGCTGGCTTGGCTGTCGGTCGCCCAAAAAGAGAAGGAGCTGGCCAGTTGTGAGCACTCGATTCAACTGGTTGAAGTTAAGAAGGCCAAGCTGGTGGCAGCCGCAACACAGAAGGACTCCACACAAGTCACACTCACGCAACAGTTGAGGTCAGTTGAGGGCATTGCAAATGCCTAACAATTTTTATGTTTTCGGGTTTTCCTTTTGTAGCAACTTTGAGGAAAAGAAGAGGCACAACCAAGATGTTCACAGATCGCACGAGGCAAGGATGCGTGAGGCTACGCGCATATTGCAGGAGCAGTACTTGAAAGCCTGCAGTATCCGAACACAAATGAAAAATGCCGAGAAGCGCCTCAACGAGGATGAACACGAGTACGAAGCTTGTGAGAAGCATATCAGCAATTACCATGCGGACTATGCCAGAATCAAACGGGAGCGAGAGGAGCTCGCCACCAGAGCAGTGGAGCTGAAGCAGCTAGTCGCCGAAAGGGAGGCACTTGTTAAGCAGGTCCGACAGGAGCAACTGGAGCGAAAGGAACGCTACAATGCCGTCCGCGAACAGGTGGACACTCAACGATTCGAAAGAAACAAATTGAACCATTCCAAGCGTGAGATTCAGCTCTATTTTCAGCTTAAGCTTAAGCTTTGAACTTACCTTTCCTCTCCTCTCCTCTCCTCTCCTCTCTTTTCCTTGTGCAGAAAACATTCAAACGGAAATTGAGACGCTTGGACGCAACAAGAGCAACAAACTGTCGATTTACGGCGAGCAGGCAATCAAAGTGGATTGTGCCCTGCGCTCTCAGTATACCGGTCCCAATCAGCATCGAATGCCGCGCGGTCCACTTGGGCAGTATATAACCGCAGTGAATCCCAAGTACAGGGATCTGGTCGAGAATCAGCTGTCCTCTTGCCTACGCTCCTACATCGTGAGCTCTGACAAGGAGCGTCAAGCGTTGAGAGCGTTGCTTCAGAGATTCCATGGCAACAATATGCCCACCATCATTACCAGTGCGTTCACAAATAACATCTACAATGTGTCCAAATTCAAAGTACAAGCCACAACACCCAACACAACGGTGCTGATCGATGAAATCAGGTTAGGCCTAAGACTTGCTTGTGTTCCATTTATTCTCCTTCTAAATGAGTACTCTCATCTCCCCCGAATTTATAGCTGCGATGATCCGGTTGTTATGAACTACCTAATAGATTCGTTGCGCATTGAGACGGTGCTGGTAACCGAGTCCAAAGAGACAGCCGAATTTCTCACTTCCGACACGGAGAACGTGCCACCGAATTTGACGCGTGTGCTAGTGCCAGGCCTGGGGCTGGAGTACATACCATCGCCCAACTATGCCGTATATTCGGCTCGCATATTACCCGGACGTTACATGCAGGTGAATGTGGACGATCGCATACGGCAGCTGCAGGATATGCAGCGTAGTCTGCAGGAGCGAGCGGCATCCATAAATACGGATTTTCAGACACTGAGGGAAACGCTGGAGCGCACTGGTCAGGAGGTTGCCCAAAAGACAACCGAAATATCTCAGTGTCTTGCTGAAGTGCAGAAGGCGTCCCAAGAGATAATTGAAATTGAAAGCACAGAGCACCGTGATCTGCCAGAATATGATCGCCTGGTAAGTGCTTTTAGTACACACTCGAAGTTCAACACGTTTAAACGTCTTGTTGTCACAGAAAACCCACTTGGCCGATTGCGCGGAAAGGATTGAGAAATGTAAAGAGGAACGCCGGGAGCTGCAGCTGAAACTCGAAGCAATCGATGAGCGCAAGGCCAAATATGAAGCTATGAAATCCGACGAGTTGAAGGCCCTCCAGGAGCTTAGCAAACAAATGGAGAGCATCGATACGGAGGCCCACGAAGTCACAAATCGAATACGTACCTTGGACAGCGAATACTCGCTAAATAGTCGCCATCTCCAGACAATGGTGGAGCTTGTCGAAAATCAGCAAAGAATTAAACAGGAACTTCTCAACGAATTGGAGAAGATGCGCCACGCGGCCAAACTGATGGGAGAGTTTATCTCGACAAATGAGACGGAAGAGGAACTTCAAGACTTAATAAGTCGACACAAATCGAGAATTCGACAAGTGGAGCAACTAAACTACGATGCCGAAGAGGTGGAGAAGGGCTTAGCTGTCCTCCGGTATAGACTTGCTGAGGATACGAATCGTTTTGAAAGAACGGACAGTGTCATTCGCGAGCTGCGCACATCGTATCGCAACCATGCGCTAAATTTTCAAAAATCTCGCACCCATTACCTAACCATGGTTCAGTATAGTTTTCAAGTAAGTGTTGCCGCCGCCCCTGTTCTGTTCTGTTCTGTTCTGTTCTTCAATTGAAGTTTCCACCTTTTAAAATGCTCCACAGAATTCCCTATCACTGCGTCATTTTAACGCGACCTTTGAAAGTAATATAAGAGCCAAGACATGGAGCATAAATGTCTTTCCGGCCAGTGGCAACAAAACCACAAACGCTAAAAGTCTGTCCGGTGGCGAGCGCTCATTCACGACAGTTTCACTGCTGAAAGGACTTTGGACAACTTCCGATCATCCATTTTACTTTTTGGACGAGTACGACGTTTTTACTGTAAGCCGGAAGTCGGGAGTCGGGGATTCGGACAGTGTCTTAACTTTTGTTTATTGCAGGATGAAGTCAACCGAAAGTTTATAACTGAAATGCTAATTAAAGAGGGTGAAGACTTGAGACACCGACAATATTGCTTTCTGACACCCCTGGACACGGCTGTGGAAGAAAGTCCATACATCAGAATACTCAAGTATGATTGAGGTGCTCCACGCTTACGTTTAAACAATGTTTTAAATGTTGCTTCTATTCCAGATTGTCTTCACCCGATGAAGATAATGCCAACGAGCATTCTCAGGCTTAATCTTTGGACCCACAATGACGGTTGCAGGACGACGACAAAGTAAACACCAAATTAAATTCTCAGGAAACACACTACGTATTATTATTCTTTGTTTGGAATAATCCTCATTTCGTAGGATTTAAGAGTTGACCAATTAAATATTATTCTTATTAAATATCTTTGCGCGGTAAAAATATCACTGATCGATGGTTTGGTGCGATACTCGTATGAACCATCGATTACGAATTTAGCCTAACGATAGTTGAACGATATTAAAAGTAACCTCAAAGCGGCGGCGACGAGTTTCGCCTATTTATTTATTTTTTATATTGTTAAACCTTGCACAATGAGCCGGAACTACAAGGAAGATCAGAGCAGTGAGGTGGAAGCTCTGGATTCCATTTACTGCGGCGAAATGGAAAGTATGTATAGACAAATCTACGAAATCTCCAACTGCATTGAATTGTTCATTGCTCTCTCTTCCACTAAGTTCTCGCGACGGAACCTTTTCATAAATTCCAAATCCCAATTGCGACGGAGGAGTACAATGCAGAGGAAAATGAAAATGGATTGTCCTGCAAGTTGGTCTTCACATACACAGCCACATATCCGGATGCGGCGCCATTGGTGGAAATTGAGGAAGCTGAAAACTTTGAAGACACATTCGAGACACGTCTGCTGGAGCATTTGCGGCTGACCATTGAGGAAAATCTCGGCATGGAGATGATATTCTCTCTGGTAAGCAGTGCACAGGAGTGGCTGAATCAGCGTTGGGATGAACACACAACCCAGGCGGAGGAGACGCGTGTGAAGAAACTGCGGGAGGTCGAAGAAGAGGAACGCAAGAAGTTCGAGGGTACGCGCGTGTCGGTCGAGACGTTCATGAAGTGGAAGCTTGACTTTGAGGAGAGCACGGGCATCGCAGCGAAAAGGGAGAAGATCAATGACTGCAAGAAGCTGACTGGCCGCGAGCTCTTCATGTGCGACACCACGTTGAATGATTCCGACATTAAATTCTTGCTGGAAGCGGGCGAAAACATTGAAAACGTCAAGATCGACGAGACTCTCTTTCAAGATATTGGAGAGCTGGATTTGGACGACGACGACGATGAGGACTGGGTGCCTGGTGCCGATGACGACGATGATTGAGCGAACTGAAACAAATGGTTATTCGAAGGCATATTCTGTGTATTCTGTGCAACATTAAATGCGAACTTTTGGTTAATCTAAGTTGTTTGGGTTTTGCAAACTCATATCGGATAATTTCAGGCCGTGAGTGTAAACTGGTTCGATGTCGTCCAAGTCAAAGAACTCTTCGTCGCTCTCATCGTTCTTTGGCGCTTCGGTGGCATTTGTTTTCTTGGTTGCTGGCATTGTGGCACGTTTGAAGTTTAATTTTGACCAGGAGCCGGGCTCCAGCTTGGGCAAAGTGATCTCAACCTTGGTGCCGTACATGTGCGCACTCGCCTTCTGCACATTGACAATCTGCAAAAAAGAGTTTCATCTTGAAAACATTTTGGTTTGGGAATGGACAAATCAAGCGCTTACGCCTCCCAGCTCCAGATCAATGTCAAAAGCTGCATTTTCCTGCTCTGGAAAGATCAGTTTGACATGCAGCCGTATGGGGTTTATTTCTATCAAACTCTGGGCGTAGTGATACTTCTTGGCATAAATGGCCACCACCACATTTGTGGCCGTCTGATGCCAATCGTAGCGGCACTGCACAACCTTCTTGTCCTCGTTCTGCGGATAAACAATTGATTAGTCTTCGATTTGTGCTGTTGTCGGGAGGAGATCTCACCTCTTTAACCCACTTGTGCTGGCCATTCACACAGCCCTTTTGGGCCATGAACTGGGCAAAATCGGAAGTACGCTTTTGGCAGCATGACCAGAACTTCATTCCCTCGTGGAAAATGGGCACTCCTGGATGATGGGCGCACTGGCTGTGGTGGCTGTCCGTGCCAGTGAATGAATATGAGCATCCATTGTTTTTGCAACTTGTGCCCACAGCGATCGCATCGCTTGCCTCTCCGAATGGCGATGCTGCTGCTGCTGGAGCACTGTCCACCTTCAGGTTGTCTATCGTCTCTTTAAGGGCAGCGGCAACTGTTGGCTGCAGCACAGTGAACGGTGTTTCTATGGGTGGCCTGCTCATAGCTTCTCTTATGGGTGCGCGCACTTCGATGACCTCGTCCTTGTCCCCATTGTTGTCGTCTTTGGTTGATTTCTCTGGCTCCGGGGGCTTAACGTTCGAATGTTTCGCCAGAGTACAGCCCTTGATATTTAGGAACTCGGTGAAGTCCACCGACTTTTTGTTGCAGCACGACCAGCCCTTATAGGCATCATGAAAGAACGGCTCTCCGGGATGGTGCCGGCATGATTCTGTGCAAGCAAAACAAAAGTTCTGATTATACATGTTCCTTGAGTTGCCATACGCCTTCCCGCTTACCTTCGTTATTGGCAGCTTCATCAAAAAGCTGACCACAGCCTCTGTTGTAGCATTGCAGCATTTTGAGTGGTTTGTTTTAGATATTTTGTTTAAAAATTGAATAATCCAGAAGTTTCTTGGGCAGTAGACAGTGTGACAATTTTCGCGAATTATACCGACAGACCCCACACCCTCGGAAATATACCGAAATATTCCCTTGCATTTTCATAATACTGTAAATGTAGCGTGTCCTTAATCATATTTCTCGATTTTGATGTTCTATTTAATTTTACTTTCAACTTAAGACTGTTAACACTGAAACAATAATTTAATCCGTTTGAAAAATCAATTTGTCTTATTATAAATACGACTTTTTATTGGATTGTATACTTTATGAACTTATATCTTACAACTTTGTATTTGAATTTTCCGTTCAAATCAACCCGTCTGGAAACAAGGGAGCTTTGAGTTCAGTATGTAAGTGTATGTAACATTTAGAGACACATGTATATTTACTGATTTCATTGACAATGTTTGAATACAGCGCGCGCAACAAAAGGAGAAAAATAAATTCAGATGTTTGCACAATATAAATTGTGAAAATTTCTCAAAGGGAACACAGTAAATATTACAATAAGCTCGGAGGGGTTTGGGGCAGTTCTTCTATCTTTACAACATAATTGGAGCTAGACTAGGGGCTAGGAACACCCGATAATGATGAAAAAATCATCATTATGGACTTACTAGTCACCGATTTCTTTGATTTTATTTTTTTTTTTTGTTATTTCTATATAGTTTCTGTAGTTATATATCAATATATTTTAATTTATTTTTAATTGTTCATTTTTATTTGAATTTTTCGATTGTTTTAAATGTTTTAAATATGAGCACAGAAATCCCACATAAATATATGTTCTATGTATGTTCTATTTGATATTTCCAACTATTTAAAACTCTCAGCTCTAAAAACGTAATTTTATTCGAATGATCATTCAATTCTCTACAAGATTGGTTTCTTTTTATGTCTTATCTTGTATTCATTGACAAGAAAGGTGAAAACTAAAAAGTTCACCCAAAAAGAATATAATAAACCTGAGGGGGAACACAACTTCACGTAGTTAGGTATATCGGAGCCGTTGGTGTTAGATGAATGATGTAGAATGTCAGGTATCGAAGTTACATGTAGATGTAGTAAGTCCCGATAAACGATAAGCGATTAATCAGTGGTTATTTTCAAATAAATCAAATAGATGGGCTTAGATATTTCTAAGTGGATATCGCTCATGACTGATACGTTTTTGGAAAGGCCAGAAAACCCGAGAGCAGCAACCGCAAAACAATTAAAAGTGATAGTAAATTCCGAATTATGCTAATTACTGCCACTGTTTCAGAGATTTGTAGAATTAGCTAATTGCCAGATGGAATTCGAACCACAAAACGATTTTGCGAAAAGAGCTGAAGGTCAGGCGATAAATGGTCTACGTGATTTCTGCAAAGGACTGTAAAAAATCCGACAAATTTTGACCAAACAGAGAGACAAACACTCAAAATCAGTTGAGCGAGCGAGGAGGGAATAAGAGGGAGAGAAACAGGAGCGTGTTCTGGTTTCTATTTATATTTCTTTGCCGCCTTTGCCTGATTGTTGATTTGTCACATTCATGGTTTCGTTTTCATTTATTACCTGCGGCGGTGTCACAGCATAAATTTGAACTTGCATCGTTGGAAATTCTTGTGGTGTGGTCAAACAAGGTCAAACAACACGATTCGATTGCCCGTTTCTGCGTTGCACTTTAAACGAAATTATGACAGACTCCTCCTACCACTCCCACTCCCACTCCCACACCCAGTCCCAATCCTGCTCCATCCAGGGAGCTTACGAGTGCCAGGCACATAAAGATTTTTATTGCTGCGGCTGTAGCTGCGGCTGTAGCTGCGGCTGTAGCTGCTGTGGCTGCCGCTGCTGCCTGTGAATCATGCCATTTGCTAATGATCCCGCTGCCACAGTTGTGGCCTGCCCCATTGTTGTGAAACCGCTCGAGAATTGTTTCTTGTTGTTGCTTTATGCATTGTGTTGCTCTGCCACTTTTGACAATTGCAAATACAAATAAATAAATAAATATAACGGGCTGTGGACACACTTTGGTCGCAACATCGCCAGTGTCAATGGAAATTAACACCGCCCAGCACGGTGAGGCACGGAGCAACGCGGCGCGGCGTCAACTTCAGCCTGGGCCTCGGCTTTGTCTTTGGTTTTTGGCCGCCTTGGCGTATACGTAATTTAGCATACAATGGACGCGGCATCGGCAGACATGCAATTGTGGAGCGGCGCGGAGCTGATGTGCTGTGCGCTGTCATGTGATGTCTATTTCCCTGCCAGGGCACAGATTTCCAGCAATGCAATGCAATGTCCCTGCGCATGCGCAGCATTCCAAGAACGATGACGATGAACCTATCGCTAGCCCAGATGGGAGCTCCCCCAAAAGTTCCAAAACTCTTAACATAAAGTTAACACATTTATTTACATAAGAATTGTATCTAGTCTGCTCCTGCTCTCCTGCTTCCAGTTCTCTTCAGTTCCTTCGGCTACTGACTACACAACATGACTCGACATGGTTCATCTCACATCCGCATCCACATCCTCAGAAGTATCTAAACCTTGTGGTGTACGGATTACTGAAGTAGTTATATGTCGCATACGCGGTGTCGGGTGTCTGGAAGCTGGTGCCAAAGAACGTTGGATCCGCCGCTGCAGCTGCTGCCGCCGCTGCTGCCACTACTGTCATGGAACAGAAGTACAAACAAAAGCATTTTAATTGGGTTTTTTCTTTTCTTTGTTGTTGTCTCGATTAATAATACGAATGAGTATTGGGCCAGGCCAGTGCACTTGTGGTGTGGAGGGATTAGTGGTGTGGTTTTGGTTTGGTGCTGCTGGTGTCTGACTGTGGCTGCTGCCAAGTGGGTAAATTCCAAGTGTGGGCGTCACCCCCGGCCTGAAGGTTAAGCTTCAAGCAATCACACTCTCACACACACACGAACGCCGTCAATCACAGAGTCGACGTCACAGTCATTGGGTTGTCGTTTGATGTGTCCAGTGCGTCCATGGGTCTGTGGGTCTGTGGGTCCAAAAACGACAACGCCCTGCCCCGCCACATTGATTAGAATGTCGGACACATTATGCCCCAATGTGATTGTGGTGGGTGGCGGTGCGACTGGCAATTGCCCAACGCTGAAAACTATTCCAATTGCCGTTCGAATTCATGGCTTGAGCTTGAGTACGGAGCGGCGTACCGCCGTTCGACCATTAATCTACGCCAGTCTTGGGCAATTGTTACGCTGCGGCTTCAGTTATAGATTTGCTGCTGGGTCTCTTAGCCGCAGGCAGTCCCAGTCTCCCAGTTTCCATTCCCAAGTCCTCATCAGGAAGCCCAGCCGCGTCCAGCTGCGTAATCAACCATTTCTGGCAATGCCAAGCCAAGATAGAGAGAGAGAACTTTTGCTATGCAAAAATTAATTACACAATGGCCATTTGGTCTCCAGTTAGACCAGGTCCTCGCGTGGAGCTAGAGTCCGCTCTCAGGCTTCCGCAGCAATCGTGCATAAATTGTCAAATTGTAAAAATTATCTCAACTTAGCGTCGTTTGTTCGATCGCTTTTTTTCACCCGGTCTCTGAGTCTGTTTCTGTTTCTGTTTCTGTTTTGGTTTCTTTTTGCTCTTTTTTTGTCCGCTTGCAGTTCATTGTGAAATGTCTTTCCATTCATTTGTACTCGTGCAATGGGTCCAAGCCAAGTCCTCCTCCAGTACACACAGAAAAAGTTGCTCCATTTCTGTTTCTATCGATATGCAAAAAACTAGCAGAAAAAAAAACAAGATCGAAAATAAACTGCAAACATATTTTGCATGCGGTAAAAGCAAAGCAAAAGTCGCATTAGTCGCGCATATCATTGACTCTGTCTGGGTCCCAGGTCTGTCTCGATGTCTCGATGTCTCGATGTCTCTCTGTCTCCGAGTCTCTGTGTGTTCCAGGTGCAAGTGTGTGCTGCTCATTGGCTCATTGGGTCTGTGGCTGACTCCGCTGAGACTACGGCACGGGCACAAGAGTGCCATTTGTGGTCTGACTGTTGATTGTTGTGCCAGCACCTGCTTCTGCCTTGTCCGCGTGTCAGCCTGCCTCTGCCTGGCTTCGGATCGTTAAAGAAACTCTTTAAAAGTATTCTCTTCTTCAGCTGAAGGTATTACATTTGCTGTTAGATCTTGGCATAGCTTCCGCCTCGGGCTGCAGATGGAACTGCACACTCCGTAAAGATTTCTTACTTCGCAACGATTTGCTTAACATAATCGTTGAAGCATTTCCATTTGCATCTAGATGTGGTTGTGGCTACGCTCCTCTCATGTGTGAAGAGCATCCCCAGGTCGACCCGGTCACACTCGATGAATTTCGCTGCTTCCGTCCGTCTGCCCCGACACCCGTCGTCTCCCACACGACTGTTTCAATTTGTGAAGCCGCCGCACTTCAAAGCCGGATCGGATCGAATCGGAGCTGTTAATTAGGCGCTAGTTTTATGTGCGCTTAAAATAATTGCTATAAAAGTGATCACAGAACAGATATAGCTCAAAATATGGTGCATTGACAAACGGAAAATGCGCAAAAATAAAAACCAAAACAAAACAAAATTGTATGCAAAACGAATTTGAAAATGCAAAGAATTTGTTTGGCAAACATTAAAATACTTTTGCCAGGGATACGTGATACGATTTGTTTTCTCTGTTTTTTAATGGTAATTTTCTTTTTATTTATAATTAAAATTTTGCCCTTTTTTGGGGTTACAAATAAAATAAAAGTAAAAATAAAATAAAAGCAAAACAATTATAATACAATTCCAATTTGAAATATAAATAAGAAAAATCAAGCAGAAATCATAAGTCAAAGTATAAAAAACGAAACAATTAAAAATATGCAGTTAACTTTTAGTTTGTTTTTTTCAAGCTAATTAAACTAACTAAAGTTAGGTGCTGTTGGGAGAGGGTGGCGGAATGGGAGTAGGTGTAGGATGGGGGTAATTAATGTGGAGTTGTGGGTGGTTAAGTGTTTGGTTGGGTTTTCGTTCATTTGTTTCATTGTCTGTTTGTAATTAGCTAAAAAAGAGGGACGCATTTCCGTTTCCGGTGCTGGTGTTGCGAGTGCACTCGAGTGCAGGTGCGGGTGCATGTGCATCTGTGTGAGTGTGTGTGTGTGTGCGTGTGTGTGTGTAGGAGTGTGGTGTATAAAGCTTTTGTATTAATTACACATTTACGATTCGTGTTACGTTTAACCAGTGACTCTTCCTGCGAATAAGACATTTGTTTTGTATAGTTGATGGCAAATTAGTTAGTTACTCGACAAATTCAACAACAAAATTAAATAACAACAAGGAAAATAACACATGTTTAAAATAATATAACTGATATTCTGCCCTGCTCTCTGCTAAACTATTGCACTAATAAAGCTTTTCTCTTCACTTCTCTGTGTGTTGGTGTGTGTGTTAAGTATGAGATGTATCTATGTGTGTATCTGTATCTGCATCTGTATCTGTAACTATGTATGTGTGTTTGTTTCCCTCAGACAGTGCGCTTAAATATATTCGCATTACTTTGCTGGGGCGGCACAAATCCATAGCCGGAGGCACCCACAACCACGCCGCTGGACTCGTCGACTGCATCTGGCGGGGATGGGGGGAACACAACGGGGCCTGCAACAAGTTTGATCAAAGTGAATGAAAGACAAAAAAGATTGCAAAAAGAAACAAAAAACGAAGAAAAAAAACATTGATTAGATAAAGAAATGAAAGCAGAAATCCTTGTTGGCCGCATCGATCGTACCTCTGTTCTGTCGGGGATCCCGAACCTGTTGTGTCGCGGATGAGGCAGGGGCTAGGGACAGGGGATCGAATCCAAAGCGTGCCCGGGAGCTCGGGAACTGTCCCAAAAAGTATTGCTGTCCGGCTACGTACGCCAGGCACAGGCAGAGGGTGGCAATGGTGACTAACTGCAAATGAGATTTGTTTATTGTTAAATATTAATATGCGAGTAAATCTACTTATGGATATGAAAAAATTAAACACACACACAACACGCGGGTTGGCCAAAGCAATTAAGTGCTGCCAATGTATGCCAATGCCATAAAATAACTATTAAATATCAAACGAAAGACGCAGTGGCCACCACCAAGTAGAATGCCACCGCCAAAGCCATGCCGTTGGCTTGCCACCGTTGCCACCGGTCAAGTGCAGTCGCCTTGGGCACGAGCCAGTAGTTTCAGTTTCAGTTCCAGTTTTAATTTCAGTTTCGTTTTCAGTTTTCAGTTCTGGTCTCTCCTGCAATTAGCCCCGTCAATTGCTATAACTATTGGCCCCAAATCGAATGTATGACAAATATTGTACTTTAATGTGCGCCAAATGGGGAAAAAGATCTGGTCACATGTCTTCCATCTTCAGGCTCCTACGATTGGCTCTGCTTATCGATATATGTAATCTATTTACATCCGTGCCGCTCACTCCTTTGTTATCGCTCGTCAAAACGAAAACAACTTTTTCACAACTTTAGTGGTTCGTGGAGACTTGCAGTCCCAAACCATAGTAGAATATCCGTTTGGAGCTCATGCATAACACGTTGATCATCCGCTGAGCTGCCACCAATGCGGCAGAGTGTGCAATAGCATAGCAATTGTGACCGTTTCGTTCTCCCGCTGACCCCATTCCACTAGGTAACTAGGCAACCGAGCCACCAGGGCATGCAGTTGGCGTGGGAGTATGGGGGGGCAGGCGCACATACTGTGCAAATTGTTTGCCCGACGGGTTCATAAATTCACTTGAAGCTGTCCGCAAGGCGCTTTGCATTTGTGTCGAATGTCTTAGTTAAGGCCGTCACGCAATTGGCAGACTGACTTTAATCATAGGGCAGATTTGACTTAATAGAACGGGTTTTTGGCCAATCGATTGGACACAACACACTAGACTGGCTCTTGCACACACGAGTACTTATGGAGCAGTGCACTGTGTGGCTCAGGCTAATGTTGCAAAAGGTTTTGTGCTTCATTAATTGTTTAATGGGCCGCGCCTGCGCAATACTCGACGGCGGTCCACCAACTGGAAAAAGGATACGAATGAACGTAAAACCCTATGGGGCCAAGCGCTAGTTAGCCATAATGCTAATTAGTCTTAACTAAATTATGCACAAAACAAACCACAGCAACAGCAACAACAACAACTATCTTTAAACAAAATATGGCATGGCTCGGCCGTTAACTTGCCAACAAGACCAGCGGAGACCCAGCTAGACTTTTAGTGACTTTGATAACTTGTGAAAAATACTTTTAATTAATTCGTGTTTGTTGTGGCTGCCACAGAGAGCCGCTTCGAGCTACGAGACTGAAATTCAGAGTCTATTGCCACATCAATGAGGGGCAACAGTGGAGCAGGAATTGATTTTGTCTTTAAAGAGTTCTCAAAGCTAACAGATCGTTAAGGGAAATAAAATATTATGCACTCATAAAAACTGTTCAACCTAATGAGACTTCGTGCCGTGTAATTGTTCCTGTGTTGTAATACATGTGGCTCTCCCCTTTGGCCATGCCACTGCCGAGTCAACGCTCAACGTACTCCATTTTTGCCTGCAACTGGGGCATGTAAAACACATGTAAGCCGTCACAATGTCGTCAGCTGCTCGTTTGCATCTGGAATTCCGCGCATACTTGACATGGAACTGCTTAGATCTCGATTTGAAAGTAATTGGTTAGGCTAATTCGGTAATTTTTTAATTGAACTACATAATTTGCTGGTGGGATTGAGAACAATGCTTGCGGTGACGGCTGACTCCTTAGCCCAAAACAAATCAGACACCCCCTTCTCGCCAGAGCAGATTGCCGACGTAACGAAAAATTAGCCGAACAAATGACCTTAGATATGATTTCGTAATTGGCAGGGAGACTTGGCGACTTGCAGCGGGTGGTGGTGGGTGGCGGAGGGTGTTGGCGTGGCGCTAGCTACAGATACCAAACATCAGACACAGTCGAACACCAAACAACACAACACAACACAGATATCGAGGCAGCTACAATACTTTTTTCGGCTCCTCTGGCTGCTGCTGCTGTTGGCCAACGGCGGCTTATGTGAAAATCCACCCACCCAAAAACAATGATTAAGTGCAGCAACATGTGAGCGTGCCAGTGCTCAGTGCATACGAGCATAAAGTTAATAAAATAAAAAAACCACAACAACTATCCACAACAGCAACTGCGGAGTACTAGTCGTGGATGGGGGAGGGTACAAGTGCGACAGGCCAACATTGTCTCGTTAGCATGAAAATATAGATAGCCTTTGCAGTTGTGGGGTATAATAGCATTGTCATGCTCTTGATAACCGCCCCAGGAGCAGTGGAATAGGTAGACATTTTTGAAAATAAATAAAAAGTGATTCAAGCTTGATACGTTTGTCTAGCTACCCCTAATGGGTTTGCATCCTGCTGTTATCGACTGGCATCGATGGCACATATCGTACATTTAACAAGGGTATTCGGTAATCAGCATTGCAGCAATTAGCTTTTCGCTGCCTTCTTATATTCAATTTGATTTTTCATTTTTTGTGCTGTGGCATTTATTGGCGTTTAGATTTTGATTGGCTGCAAATGTGCGGTAAAAAATAAATTATATTTATTGCTTTACCAGTCTAAGCAACCAACCAAGCAACAGAGTGTGCAGGGGAGTGAACTGAACTGAACACAGACTTTGAATGAGGTTGGGTTGATCCAGAAGTGCCTCTGCTCTGCTCTGTTTTGGAATGAGTCAGAGGGAAACCCGGACTGATCTGATGGATACCCAGGTGGCAGGCAGACATGCGCAGCCAGCTGCTAATTAATCTTGTTTAGGTTCAAGCGATTTGTCATTTACCGGATCGGGCATAATTAATTTTTGCGTGAAAACTACGTGGCTGGAAAAGTGAATGTGATTGAAGGGGGAGGAAAGGTAGACAGGCAGGCAGCCAGGCAGACAGACAATTGAAATCTCGCCGTTCAAAAGATATTATTTTTGTTATCTTTTTGTTAATGATAGCAAACGCCCAGTGGTACTCATTTTGTATTTTGGTCGGGTGTTTTGGGGGGTTCAATGCTCGATTGAGCAACAATTTGGCTGACTTTCAACACGGAAGCTGGGCCTCCAGTCGGTGACTGGAGACTGGAAGAGAGAGAGAGAGAGAGAGAGAGAGGGAGTGAGAGAGGGACTCTCGAACGGCTTTTAGCAAGTTGGCAAAATTCAAATAACGCTGGAACGGACGAAGCGCTGGAAGCGCTAAGCTGAATCAGGGTAAAGTGTTGCATGAAGTAGGTGCAACAGCAAAGGAAAAACATCAACAGCAACAGCAAAATCAAAGGAGAAACATCAACATCAACGGCACGGCCTGAACAGCAACAGCAACAACTACGGACTGCCGCTTCAAATTACTTTGAATTGTGTTTAATAGGTGGGAAACGAAACGAAAACTAAAACTAAAACGAAGTCAGGCCGCGAATCTAACGACTGGGGGGCCAGCTGCCCCGCTGATTGCGCTCGCCTGGCCAGCCCAGTCCAGGCCAGTCCAGTCCAGTTGCAGTCCGTTTGGCTGTCTGTCCGAGAGGCTGTTGCTCAATCTATTGTCAATTGTAATTGAATTATTAAACATCAATTTGGCTAGGAAGTGCAAATTGCGAGTGTGCGCTCGTGCAGCGTGAGAATCAGTCAATGACGTTGATCTGGCCACTGATTTTCCTTTTTCCTGCCCCGCAGAATGAGTTCAAGTTCAAACTGGTTTCCAGACAGACAGCCGCAGAGCAAATTTGTAGCATTTAAAGTCTGACAAAATGCCAAACACAGCACAAAACGCACATGCCTTATAAATATGGTAATGGAGCCATGCGAGTACCCGTACCATGGCCCCCTATCGATCTGCAGCGATAAATCTAACATAAATATTTTTCGAAACTAGCCGAGCCGAGCCGAGCCGAGCCGAGCCGAGCAGTGGGCAGTACATTTTTGGAGCTCTGATGCTGAGGCTGAGGCTATGCTGGACATGTGTATGCGCCATGCACTTGCCATGCATTGACTGACTGAATGACTGACTGACACAGTGCATGACTGACTACAGCATAAGCCATAGATCCAACTTCAAATCCAACTCCTGGCCCACTCTCTGACTGTCTGTCGATGCGATTGCAACAGCTACGAGGCAAAACGCAAAACTCCAACGCTAATCGCTGTCAAGGCGGCCTAAGCGACATAAAATTGTCATAAAAATTGTCTGTGCTGTGCGCCAGCTCTGCTCTCCGATGGAACGATATCAAATGACATGGCATGGAGTCCTGTTTCCCAGTCAGACGGGGCTTATGCGCACAGCCGTCAATCGTTGTCTCCAATGACCCAAATGAATCCTCTGGGAATGTACATACAAGCTGCACTCACATATTGGTGAGAGATTTACGATTGGAAGGATCCAACTAAAAGCTGTCATCATGCAACGTCTGCTCGCTCTTGCCAGATGTTTTGACCGGGCCAACGGCTAACTATTCGCTACCATCATTATGCATTTACATGTCGGTCTCCAGTCTCCAGTACGTGGGTATACATGGGGCCATGGGGCAATTGCCACTTTCCGGCGCGACATCTTCATTAGAGAGAAGCCAAGCGAAACGCAAGGCGAAACCAAAGCAAAGCAAAAGCAAAACCAAAGCAAAGTAAACACAAAATACAACCGTGCGAGTACTCGCTCGTCTATGTATGGGCAATTAATTTGAATTTCAACACGCAAAGCGTGTAAAAGGCAGAGTAACATTGGACAGCGGAGGGAAAGAGCAACCCGACTGACTTGGGCAAAAGTTGACGGCGACAACGATTAACCCACCAGGCCAGACCAGACCGGGCTAGATCTAGAGGCAATCTGGGAACGGTAATGGGAAATGGGAACCGCACGATGGTTGAGAGCAATTAATAAATCTTTTACGAGTGCATGGGCCAAAAATCCTAATCGAGAGCGACGTTGATTGCGGTTTCCCAGGGTGCCCAAAGCCTCCACAGCCTCCACTTGGCCCACCGATGAAACGATGCCGACACAGAGACAGCGACCCCCCAGTACCCCCCTGCAGTTCACCACGTCATCGCGAGTTGCATAATTTTGTTGTTATTTTCTAATGCATTGCACGCTTGCATTTTTTATAATTTTTAAATGTGATTTTCACGCACTGCACTCAACGCAGCATCGACTCATTCATTCATTCATGATTGGAGGCTAACGCGGCTGGGAGCCGCACTCGACTCGGGGCACAGCACGCAATTGGACACAAGAAGCTGGCCGGTCGGTCGGTCGGTCGGTCGGTCGGTCGGTCGGTCAGTTGGTAGCTCAAATCGAACCTGGCTTGGAGGCATGGTCTTGGCTTTGGCATTTCTTGGCTCTCGGACTCTTGGCTATTGGCTTGGCGCGTGTGTATCGCACTTTTCAATTAAACTGTTACAAAACGCATGCCCCTGCACGTTTATGGCTTGTTTTTTCATGCTGCTGTCTAATCTGTCTGCTGGCCGTCTCGTGAGCATTGCGTGGCGGTGGCCTTCAACATGAACTTGAACAATTTTTTTGCTCGGGCTCAGGCTGAAGCATTTTGCGTGCGTTTTCCCATGTACTCGTAATTGAAGGCCGTTCTCGGGGCGGAACTCCTAAAACTTCTAATTAAATCTAGTTAAATTTGTATAATTTGGATCCGTTTGGAAGACATACAATTGGAAATTAATATGAAAATATACTCAAGCCAATGAAGGTCAGGGATTTCCATTAATTTGGGGCACATATTGATGGAATTATGCATGGAAATCTTTTGTTATAATGCAACCCACTAATAGGCATAATTTGCCACGAATAGGCTTGCATTCCAACATTTTCATCACTCGGATGGATGGCCAAAAGTAATGCAAGGCCAGGCAGGCCTTGCCATAAAGGAACGAGCATCTGGCACTGCTTAGGCATTGAATTGGATCGTTTGTTTGTGTGTCTGTGTATGCAGATATAGACATATCGAGGCGGTGACTTTGCCTTCATGGCCTGCTGACACACACGACTGTTGTGGGCCATAAATTAGAGTGCCACGGTCTACCCAATAAAAATTCTTGCAGAACGAAACAAAGGCCCACAGCAGTCATTTGACAACTGTCAAAGGCAAAACTAGCCAACTTCATTTGCGGTTCAAATGTGGCCCGAACGTGTTAACACTTATATTGCATTAGCAGCAAAATGTGGTGACAATTGCCACGAAAACCGAAAGAAACCCTCAAAAGGAAACAAAAGACTTGGGCAACAAACTTAAAAGTATACTTACAAATTTCATATTGATGGTTGATTGAGCTTCTGCTACTGCCGCTGCTGCTGCTGCTGCTGCTGCTGCTGCTGGTGATGTGAGTGTGAAGCTGCAATTAGTTAACAAATATTTCAAATATTATGTTTATGTTTTAAACACTTTTGCACTGTTTTTCTTTCTCATTTGCATGACACGAAAACGTTTTGGCTTTGAATTTCATTAAGCAAAAACCGATGATTAATTTGTAATTGTTGTTATATGTGTGATATTTCAGTTGCAGTTTCGCAAAAACAAATGCAGCAATGCGTTAAGTTAATGTATATTTTTGGAAGTATTCGTTGTTTGTTTATTGTTTTATTTGAACAGCACGACGAAGACGACGACGAGCACGCGAAGCCAAAGGAAAAACTGAATTCAAATGCTGTGAACCGCCCGCCGACTGCCAACTGCCAACTGCCGACTGCCGACTGCCGGACTCTTAGTGGCGGACCGAACTGACTTACACGAAAGATTTGTGTGCGACGGAGCTCTCGGGATCTGCTCTAACTGCTGTACGGGGTACGTCGTCTCGTACGTCGCTCGGGTTGTGCAGTAAAACGTTTAATGAATTCCAACAGAAATGCTCAGTTGATTTTATATAAAGCATGAGACCCCGGCGCACCAGCCGCCCGCTTTGTTTCGTGCGTTAGTTTTTCGAGTGGGTCTCCGTCAGCTCCACAGCTTTTTGAGTGAGTTTTTCGAGTGAATTTGCTCTTGCTTCGGTTAGTGCTGCTGCTGCTGCTGCTGCTGCTGTTTGGCCCGCTGCTGCTTCTGGTGCCTACGTGCAATGTTTGCCTTTGCCACTGGCCACGTGATATGTACGAGTATGTGTGTTCTTTGCAAGCAGGGGGGTGCTTAATCGGCTGCAGTGCGAATTCAACTTTCTAGCAAATTAATATTCATCTGGTTTATTGGTTCCGGTAACCAGTTTTGGGGTCTCCAAACTAATCAATCAGCTGCTGCCGCTTGCCCTGCCGCTGCCACTATCGCTGCTCTTGCTGATGCTGCAGTTGCTTATGAAAATCCCCCCCACTATCCAATGCCTAGCATATGTAATTGGAAAGCAGGCAACCACCTTGACTTGAGTGCAGGTGAAAATAACAGAAAACAGCATCGGCGCACGTTGCTCTGGCAATTTCTTCCGGCTCTGCTTGACCGTGAAATGTGTTTATTTTTGTTGCCTGCCTGTCAACATTGTCTTGCATTGTCTTTAGTTAAGCCCGCACCTCACCCCGCTAAAGTTATGCTCGCATCAATGTTTAAGAATAGATAATATGCATAATCATAATACTGTCATAATCATAATCATAACGCGTTAAATGTCTGCCGGAAGCGGATCAGCACATGGCAGCAGCAGCAGCAGCAAGAGCAGCAGCAGCAGCGGTAGCGGCACATTCCATAGAACCTAAGCGGCTTCTTTTTTTATTGTTCGCATCGTTTAACGATTGACATTTATTGTATGTCACTCTAACTATAGTACAAAATGTATAATCTTCTCAGCATGTGCATTTATAAGTGTCTATCTGTGGCCCTTAAACATGGGAAGGTGCCAGGGAATGTTTGTCATGTTTGATTAGCTTTAATTTAACACGATTTGCACACTTGTTTGCTGCTATGCGAGAAATGTGTTCTGTTCGAGTTGTTATACTCTGGCAATGGGTATTATGATTTGTTCTAGTAATTTGGTAGCGCAAGAACAAAACCCCCATAGAGTGCCAGGGTATTAGAAGCTGCGACCTCCGAGGTTGGCCTTTCTTTCTCGTTTATTCAGTTTTTGCCCGTCTTATGTGCCAAGCAGTCAATCAACCATGAAGTTCAGCTGGCAGAGGGGGCTAGAGACAGCGGGAAAGAGAGAGAGCAAGTTCAAGTTCAATACACAGCTGGGCCCGCCCGTAGCCGCAGAAACTCCTTGGCAGCGGGTGCAACCACCAAAGTTGATTTGATTGATGGATACACTCGCCCAGGAAGGGTCAGACCGAAGCTAGTCATGCCCGGAGGTTGCTTTGCTTGAATGGCATTTGCATTACTGCCAATTGGCCAGAGTGTAGTGTATGCTTCGGTGATCAGGGGGCGGCTGCTGGCTGCTGGATGCTGGCCTTCCGTTCTGTTCTTTTCGCTTTTGCATTGTCTTCACTTCACTTCACTTCACTTTAATCCGGCGATAGGGTCAAGTTCAGTTTCAATTGTTGGAAGCGAGGCAATTACTCGTTTAGCGGCTAATTGTTGATTGCCATTGATTTATGCTGAAACAATTAGCCGCAAACCAAAGCCAAAACTAAACGAATTGCGCGCACTTTTGCTTTCTTTGCTTTGCTTTTGCTTTTGCTTTTACTTCTCTGCCTTGCCTGCAAAGTTATCAATCATTTGGGAACCGTTTACTGGTATCTAGCAATGAAATTTCAGCGGCCTCAGCTATGCCCTGTCTTGGCCCCAGCCCCAGTCCCAGGTTAATGCCACTTTGAGGAATTGAAATTGAAAAGTCCGTCTGCTTGTGTGTTTTGTGTGTTTATTGGGCCTGAACTTGTCTGCACATGACAGCCGTCGGGTATGGCTAACAAATGAGCTTTTAAGCGTACAACTAATTGCCCAACAAATTCTAACTGGCTATAAATAAATGCTGATCCGATCATACAACTATGGTAATTGGCCACATCACCATACCCATTCCCGCTGCTGTGGGAAACTCTGTGGCTCTCCTCAGCTCAATTAATCAACTTTCGGGAAGCGCACATTCCACGCGTGTACTTTCATTTCGTACCCAAAAATAACCGCAAGCCGCAATAAAATAATTTTTCACTCGTGCATGAGGAAGGAAGTCAAGTGGCGATGAGTCGTCAAATGGGATCGAAATTGAGCAAGAACAAACACAAAATAAAAACTCAACGGAAACGGGATTGCAGGTGCTTCTGGACGGGGTGAAAAGTGGAATGATTTCATAAATGACTGATATAATTAGGCACGTTATATGCCAATTAGCGGCGTGTTGAGGAAGCAACCTCTGTGCATCTCCTCCGCCGACTTTCACAGTTGACAAATGCATTCATACATACACACATGCATACATACATGCTGTACCGTTAGCCGCTGCTTCTAATTAACTAATTGTGCCCAAACTGCACTCCAAGTCCAAATGCATGCCATAGTTCCTGTCCGATTTGCATTATTTAGTATTTTTCTGCCATATATTCTCACGATCTGACCTTGGCAATGCCCCCCAAAAAGCTCAACTCTGCCAACGCTCGAAACGCACGGCGAGGAAGAAAACTCTGTGGGGGAAACTGGTTTCTCCTTCTCGTTTTCCATTAGGCGTGTGCCACAGTCAGCGAATGCGCAAAGGCGCAAATGTGCGTGTGCAATAGGCCGTTAAACCTAACTGCCTCCGCCGCATTTAACGGCATGCTCTGCACCCCCTGCCCTGCCCCGGCCGTTACTTTGACAATCTGACAGAGAGTTGTTGTTGGCGTCGTGTGTTGTATGCCAATCCGATTAATATTCATACAAACAGGTTGAACAAACACCCATGATATGTGCCATACGCACGCATTATTGTAGTGTCCGAAAGCTTTTAAATGGGGGAAATTGTTTATGGCCATAATTTGCGTAGGCATTTTGTCAATTTGTCCCATATTTTTTCGAGGAAATTAGCATTTTATTAAAATACATTTTTTTTAATGTTGCCGAAGAGAAATTTGCATATGTTAGTTCCGCAGCAATGTTTTCTAAATGCTGCAGCAACACTGCAACGTTTCCATGTTAATGGCCCTGTAGCAGCAGCCGTCTTAAAATATATCGTTAAGGCTCTACAGGGTGACCTTGGTAAATAATATATATTTCTTGGAGATGATTTTATTTTTGACCTTTTTAGCTTTAACCTTATGTTGAAAACAATTCAATCAAAGAAAGTCACGAAACGTATTCATTTTGGTTGAGAACTGATTGATAAATCGGGAAATCAGGGCTGCGGATACAAAAATACGCTTCGATTGTACTGAGCGTGCGGCCGCCGGTCGTATACAAAAGCAAGTAATAAAAAGTATAATAATTGTCTAAAAACCAGAGTTTGCGTTCATTTCTTGGCTTTCTATGAGCAGGAAAATATATACAATTTTCGGTGCAAAGTTTCTGGTATTCCTCAATAACGAGTGTTTTAATATTCTTGTAAAGGTTACGTTGTCGAACGTACGGGAGTTGTTGTTTGTAGAACCGTCGTTGTGGATCTTATGGGAAAAGTTCTTTTATAGCTATCGGGGTAGTAGTTTGACTTCATGGCCAGTTACATATAGCGATATCGCTGTTTAAAAATTGTAATTTTTATTTTTGTATACAAAAGCAAGTAATAAAAAGTATAATAATTGTCTAAAAACCAGAGTTTGCGTTCATTTCTTGGCTTTCTATGAGCAGGAAAATTTATACAATTTTCGGTGCAAAGTTTCTGGTATTCCTCAATAACGAGTGTTTTAATATTCTTGTAAAGGTTACGTTGTCGAACGTACGGGAGTTGTTGTTTGTAGAACCGTCGTTGTGGATCTTATGGGAAAAGTTCTTTTATAGCTATCGGGGTAGTAGTTTGACTTCATGGCCAGTTACATATAGCGATATCGCTGTTTAAAAATTGTAATTTTTCGAATAAACCCAGAAGGGAAGGAAATTAGAGGCCCACGAATGCAGAAATGACCCAGATCATCAACACAAATTGTCTCCTGACGCTCTTTGTCGTCTTTTTGGCTTCGGATACATTTGCAAACGATGGAGACTACATGAAGCGGGACCATAGTCTGGTGCGCCCATTTCAAGGTATTGTATTAATTGTGATGCGGGTTTACGTGTACCTCGAACGTGGCTGCAACTGCAGCTTAATCTACATTGAATCATTCACTTCAAGGTGTTGGCGTCATCCTGCCCCACTGGGACTTCATGGGCAACACAATGGTGACCAGCAACTACATAAGACTGACGCCGGACTTGCAGTCAAAGAGCGGCGCACTTTGGAACTACAATGTAGGTGTACCTGCGATGTTATCAGACGATTCCTTACAATAATTTAATCTAATCTATGTTGCCCTTTCTTAAGCCCGTCATGTCTCGCAACTGGGAAATACATGTGGGCTTCAAGGTGCACGGCAAAGGCACTGAACTCTTTGGCGATGGCTTTGCTGTTTGGTATACAAAGGATCGAATGCAAACGGGGCCCGTCTTTGGCAGCAAGGACTACTTCAACGGGTTGGCCATCATATTGGACACCTACAGCAATCACAACGGTCCCCACAATGTACGCCAAGAAAACCAGAGAATTTACTGACTTCCTTTGCCGTGACTCACCCCTTCTATATTTTTAGCACCAACATCCGTACTTGAGTGCAATGGTGAATAATGGCAGCTGGAGCTACGACCACGATCGCGATGGCACTCACACGCAGCTGTCAGGCTGTGAGGTGCGTTTCCGCAATGTGGATTTCGAGACACTCATCAGCATACGCTACGAGAACGACATCCTATCCGTTTCGACGGACTTGGAGAATCGTAACGAGTGGAAAAGCTGTTTTGTGGTGGCGAACGTGGAGCTGCCCACAGGCTACTACTTGGGCTTGTCGGCCACCACAGGCGACTTGTCCGACAACCACGACATTCACAGCTTTAAGTTTTATGACATCGATGACAACGTTTCGGTATGTGCCGCATAATCACCATAATCATTTAATTTTTTGTTTATTTCTGCTTTCCCACAGCATGACGAAATTATGCGACGCACCAATATCATACCAAATGCAAAAAGCTTCGAGCCACCACGTGAGCACAAAGATGATCCCAAGCCGGGCATGTCGAATGCCAAAATATTCTTCATACTGCTGTTGGTTGTGGTCGTGGCAGCTCTGGTGGCCATCTTTGCCATCTCCTACTTCAAGGATCGCAATGCGCGTAAGCGTTTTTATTGAGGACTGAGATGCCTCCTCAAAGCTAGTCGTATCTATCATCAAGGCATCATGTTACGAGAATTGTGTCTCACATCCACGCGAGACTCCAGACTCAGACTACAAACAAAACCCAACTTTATTTATACCGACTGTATCACGCATACTTATTCCTTAGGTTTCCCCATTTCATCCTTCCTGTCCACACGTTTTCCTCGGTGGTTAGAGTATATATATATATATTACACGTGTTGAAGAGCGTATAAAGTTAAGTGCAAATTTTTAATCTGAACTATAGAAAAATTGAGACCGTGTTACAGCATAGACAAAAGATTAAAAGCCACCAGAAAACCATATCCGTGCGTGTGTGTGTCTGTCCAATCTACACTCGATGTTCCTGCTGGCGAATGCTGGCAGTGGGTGGATTTGGTCGTCCTCCGGCCAGCATGGACTCAATCTGCCTCACCTGATTGCTGACAAAACGATCGCGTGCGCTTCCCTCCTGTCCTTGTCCCTGACCCGGCACCAACGATGCTGGTTCGTTCTCGGACTCCAACGCATCGCTGGACTTGTGCATGCCACTGAGAATGCATTGCTCGAACAGCGACTTGGACTGAGCATCATCATCGTCCAAGGAATCGTCCGAGCTATAGTTAAGCTTGCTGCCATCATCCATGGTCTGTCTACGCTGGCCATTTGTCTTGGACAGAGTGCTGGTACTGGTGTTGGCATGACTGGAGCTGGTACTGGCACTGGCACCGCTTGGCTGTGGTCTGCAGCTACCAGCCGCTATTGCCTATGAAACAGTAGAAGAGATGACTTAGTCTCCAGTGGTTGCTGAATTAATATCACTTACCTGGCTGAGCAGATTGCAATCGTCATCCGAGTCCATCGACAGAGAGCTGAGCGAGTCGCTTCTCTTTGGCGGCAGACGCGGCTCCACTTCCACCTGCAAGCTGGCATTACGTCTGGGTGGAAGCTTGGGAGCCTCCTCGGACCGGTGCATGGGCAGCTGAGAGACTGGACCTGCCCGAGCGGAGCCCACAGTCAGATGGGATAGTCCCGAAATCACCGAGAAGGTGCATGGGCTGTCCTCCACATAGTATTTGCTCATCTCGTCGGAGACTGGCAGATAGCTGGGCAGCGAGCTGCCGCCACATCGCATCTTGTCGATGGCATCTTCTGTGGATGCGGCAGCCAGAACTGGTACGCGCGGTGGCGGAAGTTGCTCCTCGTTGCCATTCAAGTCGTTGGGTATGGACAGAATGGACAGATTACTGTTGCTGGGCGCCTTGGAGAGCAGGGCAGGTGTGTCCTCGGTGCAGTAGCTGCGTGGAGCGTCTCCATTCCCATTGATATCATTTCCATGCGCTTCCCGATTGCCATTGGTGTTCGAATCATCCAGAATGCTCAGGTTACTCAGGCTGGTGGCACACGAGAAGACAGCGGGCGTGTGCTCTATGTGGAATCTGTTCAGCTTGTCCTCGAACACATTGCCTGGGGCTTTCCTAGGTGTTATCGTCGTCGGCGTTGTTTCATTTTGATGCTGTCCGTTCGGTAGACTGGGCATTTTCCGATCACGTCGCGGCGACTGTGGCATACTCTGGGTGGGGGAATCGGGCAGCTCTGAGGGCGAGATAACACCGCTCTGCATGCGGCTGTATTCGCTGATGACGGAACCATTATCCTCGCAAGCAATCGTCTCATCATCCCCACCCACCAGCGAGTCCATCGAGCTGCGTCGCGAGAACATCAAAGGTGTCTCCAGTGCCGAGTCAATGTTTTGCGGCGTATTGCTGTGGAGAGTCAGAGCTCCAGGCGTCGACTGTGCGGGCTTTGTGGGCGTTTTAAGTGCCATCGGGTCGGTGGATTTGTCAGTCTTCTCTGTCAGACTGTTGAGGGAACCAAAGCGACTGAAGCTGCCAGGTGTTCCCTCTTCGCAGTAGTTGATCGGTTGCTCTCCAGTCTCCCGTTTCGTTACGGAAACAGGAAGCAGCGCCGAGGCGGAGTCTGATTTGACCAACGGCAATGCATCGCTGGTTATCTCACTTGCCTCCGTTTTTATCTTCGGCTGAGCGGTGCTGGCAGTTGTTATGGATCGTCGCTCCTTGTAGCGCGCACTAAAGTCCGTGGGCTGATCTAAATCGATCTCGAAGGCCTTGGTGTCGGGCTTATGCTCCATGTACTTCATGGAGTAGTCAATGGGTTGCTCCTCCGTGGGCGTTACAATCTCAAAGGGGTTCTTTGTGCCGCCCTCGGACTTGCTTGAGTATTTTGTGGAATCGGATTTGGCCGAATAAATGGATTCGCGACTTCCGCCGCATTTTCTGGTCATAAATTCAGACTTTCCGACTGTTGCTGGTCGAACTTTCTTCAGGGATCCGGTGGGATTGGAGCTTAGCCGCAATGAGCTATACCGTCGGGGCAGGGTGCCCGCATGTCCCGTATCATTATCGAGAGGTAGGGAATCGCCGTTGGGTAGCAGCTCTAGAGCCGCCCTGAAGTTCACAAGATTCTTTAGGGCCGAGGCACTGCCCTCAGCAATCATGGAGTTTTTGGAGGCAATCAGGGCACGCAGCAGCGGAATGGCATTGTGATCGATTAGGAACTGCTGGTCCTCGGGACAGCGGGCTGAGAGATTCCACAGTGTGCCACAGGAGTTGCTCACCACGGTCAGACTCTCCGACTTAAGTTGCTGCAGCAGGATGGACAGTCCGTTGTGACGGCGTAGAATCTCACGATAGGATTCACACACCGCAATGTGGCTGGAGACGTTGCGCAGTATACCGCCAGCATTCTCGATGATCTTGAGCGTCTTGCTGGGTCCCTCGTAGCTGAGCATGCTCACCAGAAAGGCCAGTGCTCCGTCCACAGCACAGAACTCGGCCTTGTTCGTGCTGCAGTGGGCGGAGAGATTCCACAAAGCCGACAGCACGGCCTTCAGTGTGTTTTCGCTCTTGTTCTGCATGGCTGCACGGGCCAGAGCCGTCACAGTGCCCAGCTCATTGAATATGGTTTTCATGTGCTTGTCGGCGCGCCACGAAAGATTGCGCAAAACTCCAGCCAGGACCTGAACCAGCGAATTGGTTAGAATTGTGCGGGAAATTAATTGAATTCTTACCTGAAGCAGATCATCGGGCGCAGTGTTTAGCTGGGCAATCACCACCTCCATAAACTGACGCTGGCCGCATAGGTATGACTTGTTGTGGACATTTTCATCCCCGAATGTAAGATTTGTCAGAGCCATCAGTCCGTAGCTCCTCAGCGCGTTGCACTGCTCGCGCCCTGCTGCCGGTCCGTGTACAGCGTGATCTAGATGCACCAGATTGGGAATCGCCTTCAGGGCTCCAAGCTCGCACATGGTCGCACGATGCTCTTCATCAAAGCTGGCCTTCATCAGCAGCTTCATGGCAGCCAAAGGGTGGCGATCCTCGTCGTCGGCTATGGCCTCGCCCCCGCTCTGTAGCTGCGTGCGCAGAAAGTTGCAATAGTCGAGGATCTGGTCGAGCAGCCGCAGCATCTTGACCTCCCGCTGGCGCTCCTTTTCCTCCGGATTGCTGTGCACAATGTTGTGCAGCGCTTGGCTGGCATATTTTCGGGCTGTGGCCAGGCCCTCGTCATTGGCGTGCAATATCTGCACCAGAATTTGAATGCAGTCGGAGCTGCGCAGATCGGTGCAGGTCTCCACATTGCGGGACAGCTCCAAAAAGTTGCGCGTCAGTTCCAGTCGCGTAGCGTCACTCTCGTTCAGCGTCATGGCTTTAAATAGCTATCCTGACTTTAAAAGGCAATCTCACTGTCGGGAATGTGCATGTGGGATGCCTAGCGCATTCTTATTCCAGGAAGATCCTTATTTTATTGTCGCACCTGCAGGTAGAGATCACCAGCAACAGTTGATCCTTATTTTGTGTCCTTCCTTTCTAGCCATTTTCTAAGCGCACGATCGAATTTAACTATCGATAGTTCTCGCCACCGATCGATTGCCATCTGCAATCTCTAACCGTGGTTTTAAAACATTTAAATTGTGAACTTAAATAACATTATTTATTGAGCAGCTTTGTATGAATTTCTTAATGAATTAAACTAATTTTAGGTCTAGAATTTATTGTCTCGTTTTACTGTGAATTAAAGCATAGAAACATCGCACGCGCATGGACCATCTCTAGCCAGCTGTTACGTCACGCCAAACAGCTGTTGGACGCAGATTTTACCGAAAAATAATGAACTTCCTGAAAAAGGTGAGTAAAACAATTAAAGAAAGCGTTTTAAATGCAAGTAAACTCTGCTTCCTTTACAGTTGGCGCCGCACATTGCACTGGCCGAGTCCCAGATCTGCAAATCAGCGGACCTGCACACCAGTGCAGTGTGCTGTCGCGTGCAATCGGGCCGCTACCGCATAACCACAAAGCGGAACAGGCCGCTCACCTACGAAATGGCCAATCCACCGCATTTCATTGCACACCGCAAGTCCTGGAACTCGTGGAACACATGTAAGTTCGAGTGCAGTTTATTGTCGCTATTTTATTTACAAAAATTGCCCCCGATTCAATAGCCACCCTGCTGGATTCGCAGCGTCCGGCGCAAACGGCCGTTGAGGATTTGTTCATAAGGAAGTTCATCACCGGCACCTGGCACGCACTAACCTGCTCTGAGATCATTATCAAGCGCCAACACAACACAATACGCATCGCTTCGATCATCCGCCAGGCCATCAGTCCACGCAAAATGTATTTTCTTATTGGCTATACGGAGGAGCTGCTCTCCTACTGGATGCAATGTCCCGTCACGCTGGAGCTGCAAACGGTGGCCGACAAGAAGGACGTGGTCTTCAAATACATTTAGTTGCTTGCGCTCTTTACTTGTTTCCCAAATAAACATTTTGTAGAATTACCTAATGCGTGTAGTCGACTTCGCTGTTGTTTATCTGCAGCGACTTGATGGCCTTGTTGACTATGACACCATCGGGATCCTCCACCTGAAAGGGAAATCCACATTGAGTTGCAAGCGATATGGCAACGGTATGCTTTGCCTTACCGTTTCTATCAGCTTTTTGACCTCTGCCAGAGAATTTTGCTTGAGAATCAGATACCTTATATCCTTGACCAGCTCCACGAAGAGGAACACGACAATTTTGCGAGAACCACCGCACACCTTGTCCCAGATTTTGACCAGCACAGTCTCGCAAATGACGCCAGCAAAGCAGGTAATGTACCAGTTATCCAGCAGCACCGAAGAGCTCTCGAATAGACCCAGCTGCTCCAAGCGGCTAAAAAGGAAGGTAATGCTCAAAAGAAACTTAATATTTTATGACTAGACATACTTGAACAGTGAGAGATCCTCGCGCTTGAGCAGGATTTGTGTCTGCTCCTTTAATTTGGGGCATTCCCTTTTCAGCTCGCGCGTGTAGTTGTAGAATCCCTTTGCTATCCAATAGGTTTCCACGTCGTTGGTGAAAATTTGCAGCAGAGCTCGCACGATTTCAATGAAATGGGTGTCATCCGCCTGGAGAGTGGCATTCGCATTGCCTTGCCACAATCGATTCGTCTCCAGCAGCCACATTGTGTGCATTGTGTGCCCCAACTTCTTTTTTGGGTGTTCCACCAGCTCCTTTTTTTGGACACACCGCAGCACGGACACAGCCCGCAGCAGATCCTCATACACCTCGCGCCGTTGGTCCCTTATGTAGTCTGTGGAAGACTTGTGAAGTGGTAGAATGCCCATGACCAGCGACCAAAGATAATTTCTGTGCACATTCGGGACAGTGTAGTTCATGCAGAATTGCTTCAGTTTGTTCAGGTTGCGTATGTCATCCTCCAGCAGCTTGTTCAGCGATTTGTTCTCCTCGACGCTGTTTATCAGACATTTCTCATAATAACTAGATCGAAAGTTTCGCTCGTCGGCATTCATAATTTGTTTATTATGTTTATTTTCAATTCTATTGTTGTCAGAAATGGTATTTGTGTGCGTGTGTGTACTATCGATAGGCAACTGGAAAAGTGTCCAATCGATGGTACGTAGTGTGCCACCACTAGTACATACTGGATCTATCAGCAAAATGCCTCAATATCTGAAAAGGTAAACAAAATGTGCAATTCGGTCAAAAGAAAAGTAAATTTGTGTTGACGCGGAGGCTGGAGAGTGCAACTGGAAGGTGTTGGATTCACTGAAGCTGAGCAGGGGCCGTTAAATGCCAAGATATCTGTATGTGTACTCCGTGGCGAGGCTGTTGCTCGGAGACGCGAGCCAGAAACTGAAAATCAATAATTCAATCAGAAAATCAAAACACGGATTTGCCCAGATGCAAGCACACGTTCGCGATAAATTATGCAATTGTTGCAGCCATTAACCCTTCTTCTTTCACGCCTTTCACACCTCACGCGCCACCCCTTCCGCAGTTGATATATTCAAATGTTGGGCTCGTTTTCTGCTGCTGTTGCTGTTGCTGCTGCTGCTGCCACTACTGTTGCTGCCGTGCACGACGACGACGACGTTGTTGTAATTGGGTGTCGCAATGGAACAGGAAATCGGCACCTGGGACTCGGTGCTGCTCGAGAATCTGTCCGAGGATAGTTTCATAAACAACATCCATCAGCGCTACAAGCGCGATCATATATATGTAAGCGAAAACTTGAGGTATTCGTGGCCAGCAGCTACTCTATCTACTCTCTCTCGCTTAGACCTACATTGGAACTTCTGTTGTGGCTCTGAATCCATATCATCACATATCCGAGCACACGCTGGACAATGTCCGTAACTATGGCGACAAGGGCATCTTCCAGCTGCCACCCCACATGTGAGTAGTGGATTGTACTCCAATGACTATTCCCCTTACTATTCCCCTTTTTAGTTACGGCCTCACCAACCTGGCCTACCAATCCCTCAAGGATCACAGCGAGGACCAGTGCGTGCTGCTCACGGGGGAGAGTGGAGCGGGAAAAACGGAGACATTTAAAATGATTGTCAACTTTCTGACACATATACAAGATCGCTCCCTCTGCCACACTCCGAATGTCTTGCGCAAGCAATCGTCCACCAGCTCGGCCAGCGGTGTTCCCGTGCACGCCCACAGGCGTGCCTCGAGCAGCTGTTCCGGCACTGCCAACTTTATTATATGCAAAAACAGAGCGGAGAACACACCGTCGGCCATTGCACGTCGCCAGTCACCGTCGCCCGGACCATCTCAGCGCTCGAGGACGCGTGCCGAGAGCATTGAACGCCAGAGCAGGCGGAATATGCGCGAGAAAATTGTGGACTTTGATTTCTCACACCACAAGAGCAGCGAGAACATTAGCACACTGATCGAAGCGCATGCCGCCGCCGCCTCCTCACATCACTTGCATCCAACCAAGTCGTGCTTCAAGCACCAGCAGACTCAACCTCAAGCCTGCACTGCCACTGCCGCACTGCCCCAAAAGGGGGCAGGCAACAACACATCGCCCAAGTATGCCATGCTCTCGTACGCTGGCTGTCGCCAGTGCGGCCACAGCAAATGCGTACGTGCCCAGAGCCTAGAGAAGGAGGAATGCGGCGGCGCCGAGTCGCCGATGCTGCTGCTGCGCGGCAGCAACAGTCGCCTATCATCCAACACGGCCGCCGGCGCTCACCAAAACAATCTGAGTCGCGGTAGCTGCTCGAATCTGGTGCGCCAGCACTCCACAGAGAGTCAGCCAGAAAGGGAAAGGGATCGGGATCGGCACTCTCTGACGGGATCAACGCAACGTATTTCGCTGTACGATGCACACAAGCTAAGCAAAGTGCTGGGCGAGCTGCCGCCGCCGCCACCACAGTCGCAGCATCCTAGCTCGGTATCGGTGTCGGTGTCGGTGTCGCCCACGCCATCGGCCAGCTCCTCACTGCATCGACGCCACAAATCACCCACACAGCGGCTGCGTGAGTGCGTCACCTGTGCTGATGTCTTTCTAGAGGCCATGGGCAATGCCTGTACGCTGAAAAATAACAACTCAAGCCGATATGTAAGTCGGCTGCTCATATGTACCATAAAATCTTTAACTAAATGAATTTCTCGCTTTGCAGGGAAAACTATTTGATATTGAAATTGATTTTAGGGGCGATCCAATGGGAGTGCATATAACCCACTGTAAGTAGAACCAAGACCGATAGGATCCCCTGCGTATATAAACCATAAACCATTTCGTTATTTATCTTCATGCTTGCCAAAAAAGATATGCTGGAAAAGGTTTGCTCTTAGCCAAACAGTTTTTGATGTTTGTTTCAGTTTTTTCTTCTTGCTAACTTTTATCTTCCATTCCTTCCACAGACGCGCATTACGGACACCGTCATTGGCGAGCGAAACTTTCACATATTCTACCAATTACTATTGGGTGCTGATCTCCAGTTGCTGAGTAAATGATTGCCCAAGACTTGTGCCTACTAATCCTTAAATATATATCCTCCCAATTGCTTGTAGAATCACTCAAGCTGTACCGAAATGTGGAAAAATATGAGCTGCTGCGCAACACAACTGCCATGGAGGAGGATCGCTTAAACTTTCATTACACCAAGGTCAGTCCTCAGTCTCAACACTTCGAATTTAGTTAATCCCTTCTATTGGGTATCATTTGTAGCGTTCATTGGACGTGCTGGGGCTTAGCTGTGATGAGACTAGCTCCATTTTTCGTGTCATTGCTGTCGTTCTGAAGTTGGGAAACTTTATCTTTGTGCCCGTGACCAATATCGATGGCACCGAGGGCTGTCAAGTGTCCAATGTGTATGGTAAGCTCTGGAGCATGAGGAATCATATAAATTTAATTCAATTTTCATGAACTCTTACTCCTTACAGAGGTACAAGAAACGGCTCAGCTGCTTAATCTGGAGGCTCAAGTTTTAATAAATTGCCTGACGCGTGCCAACAGCTCGAACAGCAGTCATGAGGATGTGGGCTCCGAAATGGATGCCCGTCAGGCGGCCACCAATCGAAATACCCTGTGCCGTACTCTCTATAGTCGTCTGTTTACGTGGCTGGTGAACAAAATCAATGACACACTGAAATCGACGCAGCGCGAAAAGAATCTGGCCCTGCTCGACTTCTATGGCTTCGAAGTGCTCGATCACAATTCGTTTGAGCAGTTTGCAATTAACTACAGTGCCGAAAAAATCCATCAGGCAAGTGTCAAGTAAATTATCAAAAAAATTTCTCTTCTTTTAATACTTTCTGCAGAACTTTGTGTTCCATTTACTGCGCTCTGAGCAAGAGCTGTACATACGGGAGGGATTGGAATGGTCACGTATTGATTACTTTGACAACGAGTCCATTTGTGAGTTGATTGACAAGCCGAGCTATGGCATCCTCAGCCTGATCAACGAGTCCCATTTGAGCAGCAATGAGGCGCTGCTTTTGCGTGTCCAACAATGCTGCGCAGGTCATCCAAATTTCATGACCAGCGGCAGCAATTCCATGTGTTTTCAGTGAGTATATTCCATCTATCCAATGAGTTTGTATTCATGCAGGATCTTGCAGGATACGTCACTTTGCCAACGTTGTTAACTACTCTATACATCGCTTCCTGGAGAAAAACTCCGACATGCTGCCAAAGTATATAAGTGCCGCCTGCTATCAGAGCAAGTTGTCGCTGGTGCAGAGCCTGTTCCCCGAGGGCAATCCCCGCCGACAGACGAGCAAAAAGCCCAGCACTCTCAGCTCGAACATACGCACCCAGCTGCAAACGTTGCTGGCAATTGTGAAGCATCGTCGCTCCCATTATGTGTTCTGCATCAAGCCCAACGAGTGCAAGCAGCCGCATCAGTTCGATCTGGCTCTGGTGCAGCATCAGGTGCGCTACATGTCGCTGATGCCGCTGGTCCATCTGTGTCGCACGGGCCATTGCTATCACCTGCTGCACGTGAAGTTCTTTCATCGCTACAAGCTGCTTAATAGCCTCACATGGCCGCATTACCATGGCGGCAGCCAGGTGGAGGGCATTGCCCTGATTATACGCAATCTTCCGCTGCCATCGGCAGAGTTCACCATCGGCACCAAGAATGTGTTTGTGCGGAGTCCGCGTACCGTTTACGAGCTGGAGCAGTTCCGACGCCTGCGTATCGGTGAGCTGGCGGTGCTCATACAGAAGATGTTTCGCATGTATCATGCCAGGAAGCGCTACCAACGCATGCGGCACAGCCAGATGGTTATATCGAGTGCCTGGCGCACATGGCGAGTAAGTAGTGATAGCTTCAGCTTCAGTTTCACTTTATATCTTAATTTTTTGTTGATGGTTTTCTGCATGTTCTTTCGTTCGTTTGTAGGAGTGCCGCTTTGGCATTCCCTTCACGGGTCGTAGGCACTTGTGGAGTTTATATCGTGTTGTAAGCATTGCATGTTGTTTCCACTCTTTACCCCAAAACACTGAGGATCTTTGGCTGATAATTATTTTACATTCTGCAGGCACGTGAAGAGTATCGATCGCTCAAGTACAAACGCCAGGTGAAATGGGCCATCGAGGTGATAGCTCGCTACTATCGCCAGTGGAAGATACGCCAGTTCCTGCTGACCATACCGCTCCGCCTGCCACCGAACACACTGAGTCCGCTCTCCACCGAGTGGCCGGCAGCACCTGTCTTTCTGGCAGACGCCTCTCGGCATTTACGCTCCATATATCATCGCTGGAAGTGCTACATATATCGCAACTCTTTCGATCAAACGGCGCGCAATCGTATGCGAGAGAAAGTGACGGCCAGCATCATATTCAAGGATCGTAAAGCCTCCTATGCACGAAGGTATGTATAGATCTTTCAGCATTTATCCGATCTACTTACTTATATGTGTCTTGGTCTTGGCAGTGTGGGTCATCCGTTTGTAGGCGATTATGTGCGTTTGCGTCACAATCAGCAGTGGAAGAAGATGTGCGCCGAGACAAACGATCAATATGTTGTCTTTGCGGACATAATCAATAAGATAGCACGCTCCAGCGGCAAGGTAAGCAGCAGCCTCTAGATAACAACTGAGCTGAAAGATAAATATTTATTGTACGATTGCAGTTTGTGCCCATTCTGCTGGTGCTATCCACTTCATCGCTGCTGCTGTTGGACCAGCGAACGCTGCAGATCAAGTACAGAGTGCCTGCCTCGGAAATATATCGGATGTCACTGAGCCCCTACCTGGATGACATTGCTGTGTTCCATGTAAAAGCGGTGAGTGTTGGCTAAATCACGCTAAGACTATAGACAGATGATTGAATCTTTGGTTTTTGCAGTCTGAATTTGGTCGTAAAAAGGGAGATTTTGTGTTCCAAACGGGTCACGTCATTGAGATAGTGACGAAAATGTTTCTAGTCATACAAAATGCCACAGGTAAACCGCCAGAGATACACATAAGCACAGAGTAAGTACATCTGATGATGTCCAATGCGTTTCTAATTATTTATGCTTGCAGATTTGAAGCAAATTTTGGCCAACAGACTGTCATCTTCTCGTTCAAATACGGCGGCATGTCGGACTTAGCACAAGGCCCACCAAAGGTCACGCGCAAGGCGAACCGCATGGAGATAATTGTATGATCCGCAACAGAATCTAATCATGGCTACGAGCCATCACCTTAGTGCAGCAGGGATCGAATTCATGGTCCGTATTCATAATTTATACGTACATCATTTTCCAGTCATCATGCCTCTGCCTCATCGTCGTCGTTGTCGTCTTTTATAATGTGGTCCCAGGGATCAAAATACAATTTTAGCAATACTTAAAAACACACATAACACACATTAATTTACGAAATTAGCGAAAGGAAGAGGTTTAGTGTTGTTCACAAGCGACAATCAGTGAGAGATTCAACCACAATTTGTTGTCATTTGTTGTGCCAAAAAGTGAGAGGGAAAATGGGAAAACTAGTATGGAGCCGTAGGAGAAATGGAGAACTCATTTTAGAATGCACTCGTACTTTATTTATCCAAAAACAAAGAAAAACCAAAGAAACGTAACTAACGAAGTGAACAACTGAATTTATTCATATAATTTTTTGTGTTCGAGGATCGAGCGATTTTAGGTTTAAGTGTAAGTTTATATTTCATGCACCAAGTCGATTAGAATTGCAACAATAAGTACGTACTGGCTGCTGGGAAACTGAGCAATGAGCAGTGGAGAACGTTAGAGATTTTACACAAACTATTGATATATACATAAATATATATGTATGTATTTCCGTTATAGAAACCAAGGCATTTCTCTTACATTTTAAGGTTTCATACACAATAATTAGTGAACTAATAATGCTAGAGAACAGAACAGAACAGAACACAGTCATATATAAACATAAACAAAACCTCTTTATATGCCACACACAAATGCATTTCCCAGTCGTTAGAGAACAGAAGAAATCTTTCCTATCCCCCCACATACAAATCAAACAAAAAATGTTAAGCAACTATTTACAAAAACAGAGCAGAAGTGTAGCTAAATATTTCAAATAAATTATATACACATAAATATATATACATGATATATAAAGGGATGAGTCTATATACTCGCGTAACAATATGGGTAACAGGATAAAAGGAGTTTGTTTGAGAGATTGAAAATGTATTGTAAGCTGCGTAGTTGTTGGATAAACATACATACATATTTATGTATGGTATGTATAACTCTTGTTATTGTTAGTTAGGGACATCAAATGTGTGTATGTGGCATGTGTAAAGCAAAAGGCCCAATTTTGTGTCCGCGATTTAAGTATTTTCATTTTTTATTTAAGTTTTCAAAGAATACGAGCCAAAAAATGCGTGAAAAGAAAGCAAAACAAGAACAAAAAAAAACCCAACCAGTTGGTAGTTTATGAAACAAAGTTTAGCAATAATAAAAACGATACATATTAGTAAACTCTTTGTACAATCCGAACAGGGGATGTGGGCGGGGACTTTGGCTTGCTTTGTTTACAATTTTGACTTTTGCTTCTTGAGCATGTTGCGCAGAATGCGGCGCAGGATCTTGCCACTCGGATTCTTTGGAATTTCATCGACGAAAATAACGCCACCCCTCAGCCTCTTGGCGGGCGAGGCATGCTCGTTGACAAACTGAATCACATCGTTCTCTGTCAGTTGCACATTGGCCTGCTTGACGACAAATGCCAGTGGCAGCTCGCCGGCAGCCTCGTCAGGTTTGCCTATGACAGCGGCATCCTTGATCTTCTCGTGGGTAAGCAGCAGCGCCTCTATCTCGGCCGGTGGCACCTGGAAGCCCTTGTACTTGATCAATTCCTTGATGCGGTCCACAATGAAGAACTCAAAGTCATCGTCGTAGTAGCCAATGTCTCCGGTGTGCAGCCAGCCATCCTTGATGGCCGTCTGCGTGGACTTGGTGTCACCAATGTATCCCTTCATGATGCCATCACCCTTGAAGCAGAGCTCGCCGCGCTCATTGGCTCCTAGCAGCTTGCCCGTGTCGGGATCAATCACCTTGGCGTAAATGCCGACTTTGAGGACACCGACGCTGCCTGGCTTGCAGAAGTCATCGTTCTGTACGAGCACACTGAGCGTGGACTCGCTCAGGCCGTAGCCCTGTCGAATGAATGGCACTCCAATGCGCTCCTTGATCTGATCCTCTGTCTCGCGGGAGAGCGGTGCGGCTCCGCACAGCAAGACCATCAGGGACGACAAATCGTACTTCTCCACAATCGGATGCTTGGCCAGGAAAACCATCAGTGGGGGCACCATGAATGCCATCATCACGCGATACTTCTCGATGGCCGAGAGGAAGAGGTTCTCCTCGAATTTGGGCAAATACACAAGACGGGCGCCCATGCAGGCGGTGGTGATGAGTGTCAGGCAGCCAAAGGCATGAAACCAGGGAATGACCGTAAGCAGCGTTATCTCCGACATGGGAATCATCGTGGGTTGACTGTGGAAGGACAAATAATGATGTTGAATGATTATGTTGTATGGTATCGATTTGGTGACTTACATTTGCGAGTCGAGGGTGGCCAGAAGGTTCATCTGGGTTAGCTGCACACCCTTCGGCAGCCCTGTGGTGCCTGATGAGCAGACAATCAGGGCAACATCCTCATTTTTGTTCGCCACTGGCGACAAGAACTCCGGGTTTGTCTTGTACTTGTCGTTGTCCATCATCTCGTTGAGGGCATAGATTGTCTTAAAGTTCTTGGAGCTGCCACTGAGCGCAATGATGCCCTTCACAAACTTATTCTTGCTGGCCACCTTGGCAATTCGATCGATGGTTATTTTGGAAGCGAATATGATCTTTGGCTTGGACAGATTAAGGGCATGGTCCACCTCGCGTTCCGAGTAGGTGACATTCAGGGGTGCCACCGTGGCGCCAACAGCAAAGCCGGCAAACATGGCCAATGCGAAATTTACGCTGTTTTCGCTTGACAGACCGATGACGTCGTTCTGCTTGACCCCTAGCTTCTGGAGTATGTGTGCCAGTCGAACAATCGACTTGTGCATGAAACTGGCAGTGTACTCGGCACCGCTGACAGCATCCACCAGCACCGTCTGGTCCCCGAAGCCCTTGTATTTGTCCAACACGAACTGGCCCAAGGATCTGTAGTCCTGGGCCTCACGTTCGATTATGGGTCCGCCATAGACAATATTACCAGGCAGCAGAGTCGAAGTCATTGCGGCTGAAAGAGATGTGAAACAATTTCAGTGGGTGTGGCAATTGGGGGTGGTTTCTATGCAGCAACAACCCTTGAACAGCAGTTGGTTCTTCGGTAGTACCCGGCACCCAACCAAAGTAACATCAACAGTCTTTGAACCCACGCAGCTAATCTAATCGCTGTCCATTAACAGATATATTTCTGTAGTTTAAGTCCCATGTTAACGTTGCTGTTGCTGCTATCACAGAGATTTGATTAAACATAATATGCATGTTTAAAAGTCCACGTTCCAAAGGTCGCAGTTCATGGCGTGAAAACGAGATGAAATTTCGCACCCCATACCAGCTGGCAGTTGCTTAGGGCCGATAGATACATATATATAAGAATACCTAACAATCTTTATAAACTTTGCAGATGGGAAACACTGAAACATGTCATCTTTTTTATTTACTAACTTACAGTCACTTTTTTCTGGGTCACAACGGTTGTTGGGCGAAACGGACGCGAGCGGCTTCGACGAGAAACTAAACGTTCTGATGGCCGGCGCGAATTGTCAACCAGCAGTGTGTTTATGGCACGATTAGATTAACGTATTTGATAGTGTTTAGGCCAGCAGTGCGCACGCGCGAGTAGGTCCCAATGACTCCATTCAGAGAAAATTAAATGCGAGAAAAACAAATCGCGCCCAGTGTCTGCAATTCGATGTAAAATGTGCGGAGAGAGCGAGAGGAAAAGAGCGAGGCACTCAAAAACAACAACAGCTGATCGAATTCGAAGCAGACTATCTGGCAACGCTATATATTTATTTTTATTTAAATGCGGTACAATTTAAAACTTAAAGCATATTAGTTTACCACAAAACTATTGAAATTAATGTCAAAGAAACCGTTATATTATTGTATATCAAATGGACCTTATAGCATGATATAGCAACTGGCCATATTTTTGTTTCAATTATGTGTTGCTGGAGCGCACACGAAATTCGTTGCTAGCCGAGCACATTCTCTGATTCACGTCCCCCCTAACACGCATCACAACGGAGCGTGGAGTAATAGAACAAATAAATATGCTTTTGAACTTTTCTTAGCATTCCTGTTGTTAGACTTGGGCGTACAGTGTGCCCGTGGAACTGGAACTGCTCAAGATAAACGTAATCAGCCATTTTTGTTTTGTTCGTATTGCTGTTTAATATCTCTACTTTGATAGGTGCCAATAGTTCAAGGCAACGGCAACGAGCAACACCATGTCAGCGTCAAAGACCCAAAAGTTCTACAAGTTGGACATAAACCGCACAGAATGGGAGATTCCTGACATCTACCAGAACCTGCTGCCCGTGGGCTCTGGTGCCTATGGCCAGGTCTCGAAGGCTCTGGTGCGGGGCACAAACATGCATGTGGCCATAAAAAAGCTGGCACGCCCTTTTCAGTCGTCCGTGCATGCGAAGCGAACGTATCGCGAACTACGACTGCTGAAACACATGGACCATGACAATGTGATCGGGCTGCTGGACATATTCCATCCTCATCCGGCGAACGCGTCGCTGGAAAGCTTTCAACAGGTGTACCTGGTCACCCACTTGATGGACGCGGACCTCAACAATATCATACGGATGCAGCACCTGTCCGACGATCACGTACAATTTCTGGTCTACCAGATACTCAGGGGTCTAAAGTACATTCACAGCGCTGGAGTTATCCATCGCGACCTGAAGCCGTCCAACATTGCAGTCAACGAGGACTGCGAGCTGCGCATTCTGGATTTCGGGCTGGCTCGGCCGACGGAGAACGAGATGACTGGCTATGTGGCCACACGTTGGTATCGGGCCCCAGAGATCATGCTCAACTGGCAGCACTACAACCAGACGGTGGACATCTGGTCAGTGGGCTGCATTATGGCAGAGCTGATTACGCGACGCACACTCTTTCCGGGCACGGATCATATTCATCAGCTCAACCTGATCATGGAGATGCTGGGCACGCCCCCGGACGACTTCATGAAGAAGATCTCCTCGGAGAGTGCTCGCAACTACATATTGTCACTGCCGCCCATGAAGAGACGCAGCTTTAAGAAGGTGTTTGAAAACGCTAATCCGCTGGCCATCGATTTGGTGGAGAAGATGCTGGAGCTGGATGCTGAGAAGCGCATCACAGCCGAAGAAGCCTTGGCCCATCCGTACTTGGAGAAGTACTCGGAGCCCAGCGACGAGCATACCTCACCGCTGTACGATCAAAGCTTCGAGGACATGGATCTGCCAGTGGACAAGTGGAAGGAGCTCATCTACAAAGAGGTCACAAACTTCAAACCGCCACCGTCTTTTGCTCAGGTTCTACAGGAAATGAAATGATGATCGAGCCACCCAGCAAGCTCTTTAAGTATTATTCAGGAGAGAATTTCTATTTTTTATACCCCCCACGCAACAAAGTTTTTTTAACTGATGCCTTTTGTACTCAAAATGTACAAAAATCTAAATGTTGACTAATATTTGTTTGATATTTGTTATTGCTTGCCACTAATCTATATATATTCTTTGTATTGTATATTAAAGGCGTATTTTTCTTGTAAAAGTTGAATCATTTCAAATCGTCACGAAATCCAATCGAATACAAATAATAGTGGGAGCCACTTGGCCAACGATCTGGCAGCACCGGTAGTGCAGAAACACTTTGAATACTCAAAATATGCAATTTGACATTTACCTGAAACATATATGTTTTGATAATGCCCATCAGAACAAAGGTTTTGCCTTGTTCTTTTCTGGCAAACTGTTTTATCGTTTCCTGCCCTCCCCAATTCCGGTCATAAACCAGGAGTGAATACCCAACTGATTAGGCTCCACTCATCGCTTGATAAGGGAATGCATTGAGGAAAGTGTGAAAGCAACAGTTAAAATCAGTTGAATTTATTTCGCCACAGGTAAAGCTACGTTTTGTGGGCAGCAGCCAAAGGAATAAATATAAATAATATGTCAAAATTCACCAAATTTGTAATGGATGAGAAAGAATGGGAGATCCCAGAGGTATATGAGGTTGTGCGGCTCCTCGGCGCTGGTTCCTTTGGCCAGGTGTCAAAAGTGAAGTTGCGTGGAAGCGAAGTGAATGTGGCCATCAAGAAACTGCTGCAGCCATTCGAAACGGCGGAGCATGCCAAACGAGTCTATCGCGAGATACGCCTGCTGAAGCACATGGATCATCCGAATGTGATCAGTCTGTTGGACATATTCCATCCGCCTTCGCCTTCGTCCAACCCCACTCCCACTTTGGAGAACTTTCAGCAGGTGTATTTAGTGACTCATCTCATGGATGCAGACCTTCATAATGTCATACGGTCGCAAAAGCTCTCGCACAGTCAGATCAAGGTGATACTCTATCAGATTCTGAGGGGCTTAAAGTATATTCACAGTTCTGGTGTCCTTCATCGCGATCTGAAGCCTGGCAACATTGCTGTGAACAAAGACTGCGAGCTGCGTATTCTCGATTTTGGCATGGCACGATTGACCAGCAAAGATATGACAACTTATGTGACGACAAGATGGTATCGCGCCCCAGAGATTCTCTTCTGCTGGAAAAACTATACCAACGCAATTGATATGTGGTCTGTGGGCTGTATATTTGCCGAACTGATTACGGGACGTCCCCTCTTTCCCGGCCGGGACTATCTGAATCAACTTGAGTGCATCATCGATAAAATGGGCACACCATCGGACGAGTTCAAAAGAAATATTGACTTTGAAGGTGCTCGCAAATACATTGAATCTCTGCCCACAAAGAGCCAGTGCGATTTTGCGGAACTCTTCGGACTTGCCGGCAATTCTCAGGAATTGGAGTTAATACAGAAAATGCTAGTAATGGATCCGGACAATCGCATAACCGCCGATGAAGCATTGAGACATCCATTCCTGAAAGACTTGGTGCAGCCTCACCACAACGACGAGGACACTGCTCCAGTCTATGATCAAAATTTTGAGAACATGGATTGGCTTTCTGTAAAGTGCTGGAAGGAGCTTGTGCTGAATGAAATCAGGAATTTCAGACCTCCTCCCTCATACGAGGAAACTCTGAAGTGTGCAAAGTGTCAGGTGGATCAATAGTGATGTTAATATAGATAATAAATAAAATATTTTCGTTCTTTTCAAATAAGGCCAGTCGTACCCTGTGAGCATGAATTATATCATCCATGTTCAGACTGGAATTTATGGGAGAGGGAGAGCGCATCGAACGAGTGCCAGCGGTAGATACTGCGTGAAGTCGTTAATTTCTGCCTTAAGTTTCACAAGTATTTGCAGCAAAAAGGAGGTATAATAGAGTTTAGCTCTCTAGCTCTTATAGTCACTTACCAAGACGGACGGCGAATATTATTTTAATTCAAATATTACTGAAATTCAAATGAAAGTATATTGGAGTAGTACCCTCAATGGAGTCCACTCTCGATCTGGCAACACTGCCAACAGCTGATTTATTTGTTTTGTTGTGAAAGTTATTTGCTTGCGGCTACTAAAATTATGTTAGGCCTTCAAGTCGTATTAAGAAACTGCCGTACAGCTCAAAAGGGGTGCATCAGGAAGATCTCCGCTCTTTACATAACCGGTGACAAGGCGAACGAAAACTATGCGACACTGCAACCGTATTTGGATTTTGCCGGAACTTTCGACGAGCGTGCCTCCTTGGAACAGAGCATCGCCAGCCGCGGCCTGGACATCAGTCTGAACGGTGTGCTCCGCAAGTACCAAAAGTACCAGACACACCACGAGCAACTCCAGCGGGTGGTGGGGGAACGGGAGGTCGTCACACATAACCTGAAAGACCTAACCAAAAAGGGTGGCAGCGAGCAGCAGATTGAGGAGCTCAAAGAGCGGGGAAAGACGTTGCGCAACGAATTGAAAGTGCTCAAACAGGCACTTTATCCCATCGAAGATGAGTTTATACATGATTTCCTGCATTTACCCAATCGTCTACATCCTCAGTGTCCTACTGGAGACCAGGAGGAACGGCTGCTCTATCGTCATGGCATGCCGAGCGGCACCGGAGTCGTACTATCCCACTTGGAGCGGCAAGATCTCATACACTTGGTGGATAACAATCGCTACTATATGATGGGGCAGGCAGCGCACTTTGATGTCAATGCCATGCAGTCGTTGGCCCGCTATTTCGTCACCCATGGCGACTTTATTCAAACCGCCAATCCGGACTTTGTGCGCTGTGTCCTGCTGGAGGCTAACGCCACGCCACTGGGATACTATCACATGGTCAAAGAGGAGCAGCTGCAGAATAAAATAAATACCGCTTACCTGACTGGCGGTGCCGCCTTCGAGAGCTATCTGGGTGCCATGACCAAGCTGTGCGTCTATCCCTCCGTTCTGCCCCTGCGATATGTCTGCTGTGGGCGCAGCTACAACCGCGCCGATGCCCAGCAATATGGACCCACTCCCAGCCTCTATACGGCCACACAAACGAATGCTGTGCAATGCTTTGTGGCCACCCAAACGGCTGACCAAGCGAACGCTCAGCTGGAACACACACTAAGCCTGGCCATCGACTTTTACAAGGCCCTGGACGTGCCCTTCCGCATTGTGTATGCGCCAGCAGCGGCCTTGACCCCGTCTGAAAGTCTGCGTGCGGTCATCGAGGTGTATGCCCCGTCGCTTAAACACTACGTCTGTGTGGGACGAATCAGTAATTACGGCGACTTTGTGTCCAAACGCATTCTGTTTAGCACGCGGCGGGAAAAGCAATATGAATTCTTGCATTTAGTTGGCGGACCCGTGCTGCATACAACGCGACTGATAGCGGCGCTGCTGGAGCACAACAAACGCCTGGAGGATTGCACATTGTTAGGGGCCGGTAGGAAACCCACAATGGAGCAGGATCTGCAGCAGTTCAAGGACCTCTTCAAATAGAAACTGAGAGTGTTGGATGTCTGTTTAGATCTGTGTAGTGGCTCTTACGTCTAACAATAAGTAAAAAGTTAAGTTTTACATACAATTATTTACAATCTAGTATAATCTCATGTTCTGTGGGGTGAGCTCTCCCCCACCGCTTACTCGCCGCCGCACTTCATCTGCAGCTTGGGAAAACTCTTGCGGAAGTTCTCGCATTTGGGCGTTGTGAAGGTGAATACATTTCTCGTTTCATCCAGCACAGAGTTTGGACTGGATCGCAGCGCCTTCAGCACGTACGTCGTGTTGTATTTGAGCTTGCTGAACTCCAGTGAATCTTTCTGCAAGTGCCAATGGGGAAAAATAAGTTTATTTGGATTATTTTCTGTGGGAATCCTTGATCCACCTAGACCTTTAGGATCGTATTTCGGAACAACAATTAAACCACGTACGTGGCGCTGTAAAAACGTGTCCAGCGCCAACAAACATGAATTGTGCCATGTAAGCCAAATCCAATTGGTCAATGAAATACTTGTAGGCTAATCATTTGGCCATCGATGGCATGGGAGCCGGGGGGCGTAACACTGTACGATTGGCACGAACCCGACTAGCGGTGGCTTGCTGTGGCTCGTGGCAGCCGTCAGCATGACTTGTGTTGTGGTTGGAGGGTAAGTGTAAGAGTAATGGCACACGGGTGCGGGATACGATACTTACTTTGGCTCGAATCGCACTGAACTCGCGCTGTTCGCAGTTGGTTTCCTGGGGACACAGTTCATAGACCCTGTAATCGAATGCGGCATCAGAAAAGTGTTGTTTGGCTTTCTTTTTTTCGGGTTAGAAATTGTTTACAAATATAATTGCATAACATGTGTTCGGCGGAGAGGCACGAGCACACGGTCACACAGCATGAGGGCATCGCTTACTTCTCCTTGTGTGGCTGAAATCCAAAAATCTGCACAATCATGCCAAATTTCCGGTTCAGCCGGAAACGCACATCATACGAGGTGGTGGCGGAGGCGGTGGCTACTGCGGTGGCTACGGCTGTGGTTCGATTCACGACGGTTGCAATTTCATTGATGTTGACCGGCGTGGAAGTTCTGTCCGTGCTGCTGGTACTGATGCTGCTGATGTGATGATATTTGCTCCTAAAGCTATGCCCGGAGCACTTGAGCGGGGCATACGGCTCTAGGGACTGCAGCGTGGTGTTGAATAGCAGCGACTTCTTGTCGGATTTCAGGCGTCGAGAGCCGCTATAGGAAATGGCCTGCACCTGAATGTAGTACGAGGAGTTGGGCAGCAGTTTTCTGATCTCAAACTGATGCGACTGCAACGAAAGAATATTTATTGAAACCACAACAGAGTTGATCAATCTCAACTCACATCCTTGACATAAGTGTCCTGGGTGATCATCGAAGCCTCCGCGCTGTTCACATACAGCGACCAAATGATTTTGTACTTTTCCACGGGCAGATTCGATTTGGACGGGCACCACACCAGCTTGGCGTTCATGAATCGCCCATCGTACTGCTTTGATATAATCTTCGAATCGTTGGGCGCTTTGGGTGGCTTCGGATCTGTGTGGGATGATTGAATTAGCAGGCGACTCGGTGGGATTATGGCGCACACTTACTGCCAGCCGAAGAGAAGGGTCGCGTGGGCTGGGAGTAGCCGCGGAAGCCAAACGCATTAACGGCCGCCACTCGCACCTGGTACCAGCGACCCGGTCGCATATTGAAGAAGACATCAGTGCTGTACATTGGAAATAGGTAAGAGAATGGAATCATCGATTGGTGTTGGTGGGGGTTGGGACCTACAGTTTGCTCCGTCCACTGTTCGTCTCCATAATCTTCTCCACCTTCTGCCACTGCCAGAGGCCGAGTTTGCGGGGCGCAAAGAATCGTCCAATGTGGCAGCGCACCTCCACATGGAAGTAGTAGACGAGCAGCGACGACTCGATGCGCAGCTCCACCTTGTGGCCGCGTGACATCTTGAAGTACTGGATCCTGGGTATCGGCGGCAGTTCCGTGTCATTACGCAGCCCCATGGGATCGACGCACACCGGCCCGCAGGAGGATACACAGCACTTCTGCACATCGGCACAGTCGTGATCGTAGACACAGTTGTCCAGGCAGGAGAGTCTAGGCCGTGTTTGCCTGCCCAGCGGGGGACAGCTTCCGGCTCGTGGTGCCCGCAGCAGCTCGAGGATGCACTGGTCCAGGCAACGCTCGCGCTCCGCCCTGCTGCTGGTGGTGCTACCGCAACGCGCCAGGCACTGCAGCTCGATGATCTTGTCCTTGATGTCGATGCTGTCGCGCAGCCAAGACGCTCGCTGCCGTTGTGCCTGGTGGCTGGCGTTGGCCGAGGAGGAGCGATGCCCCAGAAGCAGCAGCAAAAGAATAGCCAGCAGGGCCGACCTCAGGGAGTGGACTTCCATGATGATGATAATGATTGCAATCTGTAAATGATTCGCCAGGTAAGATCTCATCTCATCTCGTTCGAGTTGTGGGACATTCCGTGCGTTTATAATTTGTGTGCCGTGCCCGGGTGCTGATCATCAGCAGCATGCCACATGCTGCATGTTGATTATGCTGAAAGGATCGGTCGCTGTGCTGTGCTATGCGTTCCGAACCGGTTTCACCCATTTTGCATGGCCAACTAACTAATCATTCTTCGCATTTGTGCGCAGCCGCACACACTCCGGCCCTGCCACCCTCCTCCATCGAAGTCGAAGCAATGAAAATGCAAAAAATACATAAATGTATCTCAAGTGCTTGACAGGACTTCAAAGCGCGCATCATAGTGCGTGCCACGAGAGAGGTATCGGACGGATGGACAACCGACAGACACAGACACAGGCAGAGACAGAGAGGCTGCGGTTGCGTATGCAGATGCATACGACCTCCCGATTACCCTACACTCAGAGGAAAGTGATGTGGTAACAAGAATCAATAATTTGTAATCACAAAAATTTTGAAATTAAATAGAATTCAAATTTCATTAGATCTTCAATTTTAATACCGAACATAATTAAGTGAAAATTAACTAAAAAATATACAAATTTTAGTCATTTGCAAAAAATTTTCAACGTCGAAATATATTCTGGTAACACATTCACAGATTTATACTCTTGAGTAGTAGAGTGATTCTCTAGTAAGTTTCCCAATCTTTAGCTTGTTAGTGGCCCAAAACACTCCCAACAATCGATATGCCTGGCTGGCTTCCCCCCCAAGTGTAGAGTATTTAGCACGCAAATGGGAAACTAATGTTTTATGGGTATGGTCCGATGGCTGATGGCTGATGGTCGGTTGGTCGGTCGGTCCACAGTTTATATGGCGGCTTGGCTGTTGTTTCTGTTGCTGTTTTCTGGCTGATGCGTGTGAATGTGCAAGCCAAAGGAAATACGACTACGACGAATGTGCGAGTGCTGTGCTGTGCTGCAAGTGGATGTCACCACATCCACATCCCCATCCACAGAAAGAAGCAGCACCAAGCAGCAGCAGCAGCATCATCAGATCACATCACAGAAGCCTAGCCAGCAGATGCCGCACATACCAAGGCGATACAGACACTCTGGGAGCGGAACCGCACCGAACAGAATGTGGGGCTAAGGGAGCTGCAGCAGGAGCAGGAGCAGGAGCAGGAGAGGGGTATGGGGTACGGCACAGTGGTTGCTTAGAGGAGAGTGGAGTGCCTGAGATGCCACCGACTCTGACACACAGATGCCAGCAGCCTGGGGCTGCGGCTGGGGCGGCCTAACTGAGGGACATTAAGCGACAAATGAATGTGCGCGCAACGATCATCGGATCGACGAAAGACGACAGAAGACTGAGGACAGAAGACAGACAGAGAAGAGACCGACCGACCGACCGACCGACCGACCGACCGACCGACGGACCGACACCGACCAAGACCGTCTGTCCAAGAGGAGACGAGATGAAATGCACCACAAGTTCCGCGGAACGAAAAATTTGCAACAAAATTGGGCAGTACACTCGTAAAGCTATGGCGACCAATGCCGCCTGTCATATGAATGGGGGGCTCTGGCTCTCTGGATGTGTGAGCAGTGTGTGTGAAGAGCGGAGAGTGGATTGGACGGATGGATGCCTGGGTAGGATGGAGAAGGGGGCTGGTCTGGATGGCTGGTGATGCTGATGAGACAGTTGCAGTCTGATGCATGCCCCGCCATTCTGGCTGCCGTTGTGTAGTGGCAATTAATTGCTTTTAACGATTCAAAAATTCAAAATTACATTTTTATGCCTCACGCACACAACAAAGACACACACACAGGAGGAAAAGGAGAACACATATACACACATATTCTACTTGTATTCAGGGTGATGTCGGTAGGTGGGGGGCTCTAAGATCCGGATCGATTTCGTTGACGTCGTTGCTGTGATAAATCACTCTGCCTCGTTCCTCATGCGAAGCTTAGCACAATAGCAATAGCACGAGGCTCGGCTCGACTCTGGCGACAATGGCCAGGCAATACACCACAAACAGACTCACAGACCCAGACCCAGGAGCAACGCTAACAGCAGCAGAAGCAGCAGCAACCGTGTGTAATATGATGCAAATCGTTTAACACTTTGACCAACGACAGCAGCAGCAACAACAACACTAAAAAATGGTAGATTAGCTCTGGGTAACCGAAACATTTGATACCCTCGCAGATCTTATGGCTGATGTACTCGTATAACACACCACAAATAATTTATTCAGCACATTCGTTGAATGATGCCAATGGCGTTCACTCGTTTTACAAATTTCAAATAACCGAACGACTAAATTTAAAATTAAATTACATATACATATATGTCATTTCGATGGGTAGGACTTTCTTGCATTATCTTCTATAATATATTACGATATAGCAAAACCAATCTCAACGGTTCAATCTTCAAAGTGTTACTCAAATATGATCTAAAAGGAGGATAAATATATCTACCAAGGGCAGATCCTCATAAGATCTATCAACTTTTTCGGTTGCATCTGATTCCAATCGAAAAGGTTTTCTCATGTCAGACATTTCTACTTCCCTGTAGTACTCTCAGTTAGAGTATTCCCTTAACAACGAGCAACGTCATCGTATTGTGGTTCTGCTGAAGTGCATCGGTAGTTCCAGAAAAAACGCTTTGCGTCCGAGCCCTGAGGGATGGCAGGGTGGCAGAATGTACCCCACGGCATCAAGGGGAAAAGAAGAAACAGAGAAAAAGCCCTGCCCTTGGGGAGAGAGAAGGATGTGAGCTTAAGAGTAACAAAACACAGCCGGTCATGGACTTGAGGCGGAACAATCATCAATTTCGGCGCTTAGATGATTCCGAACCAAGGGGAGGATCTCACATTAAAAATAAAATAAAAAGTCTTCAATGGCAACAGCATCGGTTGCACCAAACAATTGTGAATCACAGTAGATATGAAACGATTGCTTATTGTGAAATATAATCAGAAATAACATTCGGTGGGATAGCCCAGAAGCTCCGGGGAAAGCGGAGAGTAAAAGAGGAGGCTTTGGAAATAAAACCTATTAGCTTGGGCTTCTAATTCGATACATGAGTAATGGAAGTATAACCCTTCAGCTTTATTCACTCCCATAATTCATTCATTCACTCAGAGCTATTTGAGATGCGAAATTTCCCACACGCCTTTAGTACTGCGATCCTGATCAGTGAAAATAAACGGAGGAGCATGTGGTTGCTTAGCTTCAGGGTTCTGTTATTTGCAGAGAAACATGCGATGCTATGCGTAGGGTATAACCACTGAGACTCTGCCCTGCCGACTGTCAACAAGAAAATCATCCCCCACCTCTGTCTGCACTGCCCCCAACCGTTGTCCGTCTGTCCGCCACGATTGCCGCAATTAGCACGCAGGCAATCTCATTTTACGCCGACCAAAAATTTCGCAAATGGCAACCGAACTAGAGCCAACGGCCGATACATTTTTAGGTACTTACATGCTTTCGGGGAACTTCAGAGGCACTTCCCAGAGCAGAGGCTCCACCCACACCGAATCGAGTCCCCGTTCCGATCCGTTGATCTACTAAGCAAACGCTTCAGATCAGGGCGGGTTAACTTTAAGTTTGAGTTCTTTGATCGCAGACAACGCGACACCTCTCTTCTCTTATTATTTAATTTACGCCCGATATTTGCCCGCCACTGTTCCGTTTTTCGATTTGCACTGTCCCGTTGCCCGTCCGTTCTGCTCCTTGTGGAGCACTGGGTGATGATGTGATATTTCTGGGGCTTGGTTCGGGTCGACCGCCGCGTTGCAACCGCAAAGAATGACTGGCACACTGAACGGACACACACCGGGGCCATGCCATGGCATGCCAGCCGCCGTACCGGGCCATGATGCAACTCTACAAGGTGGTCTCGTCGGTCGGTGTTGGTGTCTGTTTGTTGCCAGTGTGTGCTCGCTTGTTGGCGGTTGTGTGCGGACGAAGTTGTTCCACATATTAACGCACATATGCGCAGAGAAAATGACTTTTACATTTTTGCAGCAAGAAAATTCGAATTTTTTACGAATTACATAAGAGTAACTTAATTAAAATCAAATTCAAATAAATAACAAACTCTGCCATCTAAGGGCTAATCATCACACGCTACTGTTCGCTCACACTTACCAAGAACCCTTTCACTCGCAATTATTAACAACGTAGCTAGTTGACTACTTTTGCCGACGAGACCACCCTGCATCATGGACCGGCCCCCTAACGCAATTGCAGTGCTCCACTTGTAGCGCCGCTCTCTCATCCGCTCTCGGTGGGATGTCGCTCTCCTCTCTCGCTCTATCTCTCGCTCCACTCTCTTTCGGTGGGTCAGTATGCGAGTATGCGCGTGCGTACGATTCTCAGCAGGAGCAGCAGGCAGCCGAAGCTAAGATCTCGGGAATTGTTATACACTTGCCTGATGTGAGTATATCTGATAACAGATCAGCATCCGCAATCAAGGTCGCATAACTGCCATACGAATGATCTCTCTAATGAAATTATATCTAGAAATACTTTTTATATGTCTCCATTCACTGTAATTTAATCTGTAACTCGATAAATCATTCAAATCTGATATAAAGCTACACGATTGTTGGAAACCCTGAGTATTAAATTCGTTGGTGCTGGCATCTATTCTCCTTTCTTATTGTTTTTCCGCCTTACGTTACGCTCTCGTGCGATCTTGCTCTTCCCGCTGCCTGTCGCTCTCTCTCTCTTCGGCATGAGTTTCATTCAAAATTTCATTAAAGGATGCACACAGACACAGCCACAGAGGGTCTCGCACATTTCGCCGTCGTTTTGCATGCACCAATTACTTTATTTTCGTTATATGTATGTGTATAGTATGTACATGTGTATGCACCGTACGGTAAGATGTACGGTGCATTCACAATGTGATCAGCACTGGGACCTCAAAGCAAATGAGGTTCTGGTTGCACTCATCCTTCGACTCCCACAGCATGCTGCCCCGCATCTGAAATGGACCAATAACCTTGATGTTCCGTGGGAGTCTTATGATTGGATGGTGATGTTTACTTACCACCGGCAATGATTCGTTCACGAAGATATTTGCCCAGTAGGTCTTGCCATCGGAGGCACTCATGATACAGCCGTGATCGCCATCGCATGGATCCGGTGATATGGCTGCCTGGGTCTTGACATAATTGAACACCCAGCGCACTTCGTGCTTCAGGAAGGTGACGCCATTGCCTGGAAAATATATTCGATTAGTCAAAGATCCAAATACTTTAATGGAACACTCTAATTGGAAGGGTATACCATATGTATTGCAATTATTTTTGCCAATCTTTGCTTAAATTTTAAACCCAATCCTATACACACACAAACACACACTCAAATCCATCTGATCTGAAACGTGCTGAGATCTATTCATCTACATAGATAGCAAGATACTCGAACTGTTTTATGCTGACTAATCAAAATATCATTAAGCACAAATTAGTTTATTTATGAATCGATATCTCCGCCATCGCCTTTGAGAGCGCTACAGCAAAGAAGTCATATAATGCCAAATTGCTCAAATTATTTGTGTGATTTACAATCTTGGATCAATTACTTTTATGGCATCGACGAATTATTATCGCCTGGTTCACACACTACCGTATCCGTATCCCGTATACGTTGCTTCCCTGGCTACAATAAGACCGACTCGCCCGCGCTGATCTATTTTTGTTTCCGAGTGCCAGTCTTCTAGCACTCGCACGTACATTTCATCAGAAGTAGTACATGTATATGTATGTACATACATTTGGATGGGATGCATAGGATCGATCGTGTGTTATCAGTGGAGGTTTTAGTCTTACCGTTATCATCGAAGAGCACCGTAACCTTAATAATCGCATTCCGTGCCATGGAGCAAGGTAATGTTGAGCAGCTTTCAATCTCCAGGTAGTTGACTTTGTACAAAGAGCCTGCGAACAAAAAAACTCGTAGAAAGATTCGAAATAACAACGTTTAGAATAAAGGAAACTGTGAACTAAAAATGCTTAAGGTATTTTGCAGTTTAATAATATAGTGGCAACTTCTATAGGTATTCCCAATACTAGTCTCTGGGTCTGGGGTTGGCTTATCTTAGCAATAAGTACATTGTATATATTCTACAGTCTGTTGACCAACTGCACTTTCCAAGGCCTTCGAAACAATATCGAATGATAGATAATCTTTCAAATTTAGCAGCAGAAGCAACTCAATGTAATCTATTCATTCATTTGCGTTTATTTCAGTCCTGTTGGGTGGGGGTCTCACAATCGAAACTGCACGGTAATCCCCCTTAAGAGGATACGTATAGTATCAGCGCAGAGCATAAATCATTGATTTTGTATGTCAGTCAATAAATAATCCACTTAATCAAATACACTGTGAAAACCAGAATTCAATTAAACGTTACTCTCTGATACGTCTGATACTGCTTTGGGGATTTCCATTGATAGAGTGTATAAAATTTATTTTTAATTTGTGAAATCGGATGCTGTACACTACTTTATCATATTTAATATACGATTTTTGTTTAAACTTCAAACTACTTTTATTTATTTAACCATTCGCCATTCGATTAACAATCGTTAAATTATTACTTCGTTTAATTATTGAAAATTTTGCACACCGATTAGATATTTTCATTGGTTGATGATGGTATTATAATACTCCAAACGTAATTATCATTTTACACCTCTCTATTTATTGTTCAGAGAAATTTGTAATTTCATTGTGACACCATCAGAAATATTATTCATTGAGAAAGTACTCCGCGTACGTGCCGAGATTGATCCCTGATCACACGTCCTTCTTGTTCTACTCACCGCAGTCTTCGAATGGCAGCGACTTGAGTGATAGATACTTCTTGTAGGCGGCATCAGTGGTATTCCTGATGAGGCCGCCGGCCATTTCGCGGATCATACAAATGGCCAAGAGTATTTTGAGGTAGTAAACAGTAGCGCCTCGCATGGCTTAATCAACTCAATGGACTCGGATCGCAACGATTAGAGTAAGTGGAGCGTTAAACCTTTCGATTACTTATTAGCGTAGGAGTGCAGAAATTTGTTTCGTTTCCAAAAATAATTTCAATAACAATAACAAAGAATTTCGATAATGCGGATCACGAACGAACGATCGATTGGTCGGGTGTCGGTCAACGGTTTTCTTTGGTCGCAGATACGCGCTGCTTCACGGACTGCTAACAGGTAACTAACACAAGTGGCACCGCCTAATAGTGGCCAAAACGTTTGGCCACTCCCGACTGGTGCTGGTATCTCTCTGCCGTGGGAGCGAGCACTCTCCGGAGCAGCCATAAACTTTGATTTATTAACTGGGAGCCTGGCTATGCCTCTTACTCCTACTCTCACTGATAATACAGCGATCGAGCGGTGACGTCGCCAAGGGTTTGTTTTGGATCCGGTGACTGGCAATTGGTGGACACGCGCAGACACCCACACGGGACATCGACACGGGCTTTGTCGATGATGTGTACGATGTGCAGATAAAAGTAAAGAACCAGCAGCCAGCCACTCGAGTTTAATTGAAAGTTAAAGAACCAAAAGTGTACTATAATTAAATATTATTAGATAATGAATGTTCTCCGCCTTCCCCAATCAATATATCAATCCATTCAGTTCACAGAAGCACCGCTCTAGGTGGAAAATTTCGGAATGTGACTCATGGGCGGGGTCTCGCTCTGCTCTCTCACTCAATGATACCCTTCAGATAGTTGGTGTTCTTGATGATCCGAAAATCAGTGCGCAGCTGAATGAATTGCCTCACCACAGACTTGTCCAGATAGTTCTACATTGATGAAACGTTAGACACGCCGCAGACAGGGCGTAACTCAATGGCCACTCACCAAAGTATCGCCGGTGCAGACCTCTTGAAGGTTCTGTGGCTTCACCAGCAGCAGATTGCACAGGGCATGCAGTATGTCGAAAAGCTGCGTCACCAGAGCGCTGTCCAGCTCCCGAATGCACTTCCGATACTCGTTTACATCGCAAATGGCGCACATGGCACCGGCCGTATTGAATTGCATCGTCTGCAGATGATCATAAATAACCCGGTGCAGCCGAGTGCCAAATTCTGTGAGAACATTCTGCAAGTTTTCACCGTCCACACACTTTTTGATCTGCACAATTACAGGCTGAAGGCTTTGCACCACTTGCAGACAGGCCTAGAGAAAAGAAAAGTTATTTATGGATATCGTCATGGATGCAGACGGATCTTACAGCTGAGGATATGGTATCCACATCAGTCTCTGGCTTGTAGTCAGTTTTCTTTTGCTCGTACTGCAGGTAGACCTTGACCCAGCCAATGACAGCGCTAATAGAACGATCCAGGCCTTGGTCCAGCTTCGTCTCGATCTGCTCCATCAGTATGCGCTTCTTGAACACATAGTCCGAGTACTTGGCCGTGTTGCTGCGATTGCCAAAAAACAGTTTAAATTGGCGTTCAATTATCTGGCATGATGCTAACGATCGCTCACCTCACACAGGGTATCACTGAGGTGTGGCACAACTTGTCCAGCAGATGGACAATTATGTTTGTCTTTTGCACCACATCAAAGAAATAGAGCTGCGGGAATACCTTGCCCTCGGCTAACGGCACTGCCTGCAGGCCCAGTTCCAGGGCATAGTCCACATGTTCGTGCATCAGAAAGCGCAACAGAATGTCATTCAGTTTGACGGCATTGGCGGGCAGCTCGGCCTCGCTGGAGAGCAGGCGACAGCGCTTCAGGGCGGCCTTGGCCTCCTGCAGCATATTGATGGCCAGCTCCTCGGACAGGAACGTCTCGCCGCCGTAGTCCTCGATGGCTGCTATGTTGATGTTTGCCCGCGTGGCTATCAGCACCTCCATGTTGCGACGAAAACCCTTGGTGGTCTGCGTCTTCTGATGCTTCTTGCTGGCATAGAATTTCTCCAGCTCCGACGAGCATTTGGCCGTCAGGCACTTGGTTTCCATTTCGGCATAACCGGCCAGGTGCTTCATGAAAATCTGTTGCGTTAGCTTCTGCAGCAGATCATCATCGATGGTGGACATGTAGATTTGCAAATCGGTGGAGAGTTTCAAAGTGCTGCAAGGGGAAATATCAGACTAAGATAACTGGCAGCTTCAATTGTTTAAAGATATTTTACCGTGAATACAGTTCGTAGAGGGTGCGCAGGTACTTCTCCTCATCCTTTTTGTCCTCCAGCTTGGTCATGGCATACTGGTGCAACTTCAGCTGATAGATGTTCAGTATGAACTTGGACATGACCTGCTGTGGGTTGGCAAACACCTTCTTGATGATTTCATAGTGGTGCTTGCACAGCGGCACAATCCCAATGAATATATCCTTGCCACTGTACGGCTGCATCTGGCTCTGTTCGATGTACGCGTCCACGCACTGTGCATAGCCCTTGAATTGGGAGAGTATCTGCGCCAGTGCCTTCATGCGCTCAATATCCTCGCTCTTCTGGGCAGTCGCAAACTCCTCGATCAGCCGCCGTTCTACCTCGTCGTATTTCTTTTCAATCTTCCGCTTGGATTCGGCAAATTTGCCCGGCGGCAGATCCTGCGAGATGGCATACAGCTTCTGTATCACATCCGCCGCCTCGCTCAGCCGTGCTGCATCCGTAAAGATATCATTTACAATCATAGGGCCGGCGGCCAGAAATTCGGCCATAAAGTTTAACAACTTTTGCGCCTCCACGGAGCGACTGCGCGGTGTGTTTACATTCTCCAGCTGCTCACCAAGATGCATGATCTTGCCGGCCACCGAGTTGATTTTCTCATCCAGCTGGCCAAACCAATCGATGGCCGTTTGATGTCGCTCCTGCAACTTGGAGATTTTCTTAGCATGCGACTCCTTCTCCTGGCGCAGTGACTCCTCGAGCCTCTCGCACTTGGCCTGCTGCTTCTCCTGCAGGATTTTCAGATCCTTGATCGTCTGTATGAACGTGTCGTGCAGGGCCACTGGGCTGAAGTCTTCGCTGTTCTGCAGCTCATTGTTGGTGCGCCAGGTCAGTCGTTCAATGAATTCGCCCACCTCAAAGGGCTCCTGAATAGCGGAACGGGGGCATCTTAGTAAACATAACTATGTTTAATATTCAATTGAAATCACCTGCTCAAACTCTTCCATATATTGGGACAGCATAATTATGATAAATTGTTTATTTTGTTTAACAAATTGTAGGCGTTTTTTATGTTGTTTTTGTGACCGCGGACTTATCGATCAAATATACCGAGAGACCCTCGGAAATATACCGACAATGTAGTTATCGATGTAAAATGTAATTAACAGCTGTTGATGGCTTGGCCACTCCGCTGGCTTTTTGGCGAATCCGTTATATAACTTGGATTCAAATTGAAACAATTTATGTATTTAGGGCCCACCCCGCCCCAGAGTCGGACCTGCGTGGAGTCTGCATTTTATTTAACTTTAGTTACAGTTTTGAACTGAAATATGAAAATTTGAAAAACCTAGAACATATTTTTTCGTTTTTTGTTTTTTTTGTTAGCAAGAAGTTGGAGTTTCTTTCTTACAAACGCATTTGTGGCTGCGGATCTTGGCTGTGCAATGGCTGATGTTGCTTCTGCTCCAGTTGCTGTTGCTGCAGATGCAGATGTGGATGTGGGTGTGTCGCCTGCTGGCTATTGGCCGATGTTGAGGGCAGTTCCTGGGCATGCGGCACTATCGTCGCACCGCTGGTGATATTGATGGCATTGGCGGTGCTGGCCGAGGAGGCCAGCTCATACAGTGCACTGCTCGGCACATCCGGTACCGAGGGTGTTGTCTCCACCAGTTGTTGTAGATTTTTAAGCTCCGTTGAACGCAGACTCGCGGACAAACTCTCACTCGATGCCAATGATGTGGACAAGGGTGAGTTGCGTTCTATGGATGAGGCAATGTCTGAGAAGGGGTTTGTTTTATTTCTGGTTAGTTAATGCTTTGCGTAACACTCACCAGTTCTGTCTGTGTCCGGAGAGCAGGTGTTGTGTCCCACAGCTCCCTGCTGCTGTTGCATCATCATTATCAGCTTCTCCTCCATCTGCATGATGATCTTCTTTTGCACATCATATTTCTTGTTCACCGCCTGCAAGTGCACACATTTTAAGGGTCTTTGGCTACAACTCGTATTCGGTTTTCCTTACCTTAAACTTTTCCTCATACTCATCCTTGACAGTGCTCAGGAGTCGCTTCTGCTCGGTCATGGCCTTCTCGCTGTTGGTCAACTGCGCCTGCAAATCGATAATCCTGTGCTTCATGCTGTCCAGCTGTGATGTCTTCTCATCCAGGCTGTGCCTCAGATCTGATAAATGTTTCAAAAATCATTAAAGAAAAGGACTACAAACGGGAGGCAATCTGTTTACCCTTTTGCTCCAGGTGGCTGCTGTCTTGGAGCATTTGCAGCTCCTCGTCGCGCGCGCGATAGTTGTCAATCTCGGCCAGACGATCGCGACACCGCACTTGCACCTCGCCCATGATAATGAACTCGGCCTCGAGGCGTGCCAGCTCCTGCTTGCATTGCTGGCCGAGATCCGCTTGCAGCTGGGCATGCTGCAGCTCTGTGCTGAGGCTGAACACCTGGCCCCGCAGCGACTCCAGCTCGTACTTCATCTCCTTCTGCTGGGCCATTTCCGTGGTGAGGCGTATCTGCAGATCATCGTTGGCCTGCCGCAGGCACTTCTTCTCCTCCAGCTCGTGCTGGTACTTGGCCTTCATGTCGGCCAGCTCCTCTTGGTGGCTCTTCTGTCGCTCGTTGTTCAATCGCATGGCGTTGTCCATCTTGCTGGCGAGGTCCTTGTTCTTGCCATCGAAGTTCTTGAGCTGCTCGAGCAGGCGATCCCGCTCCATCTCCAGACTGCGCTTGTCCCTGCTGCGTCCCATGAGGCGGCGGTTCCGCTCCGCATGGATGGAGCGTCGATAGCTCTCGTACTCCAGCTGCAGGCACATCAGCTTGCACTGCTCCGCGTCGAAGGACTCATTGGCTCTGATGCCCTGCTTTATGTACTCCTCCAGTATGTCCTGGGGATAGAGCAGATCCCGCTCGTAATTGTTGCGCTGCTTCTTGCACTCGAACAGCAGCTCAATCATCCAGTTCTCGTATTGAGACGGCAGCACACCCTCCAGCGTCTGGGTGGACGCGTGTGCGCAGGTTCGGCGAGGCTGCTGCTCCTTGGGTGCCACCATTGCCATTGCCAATATTCGGCCGCTGCGTTGCAAGCGGCTGCCAGTCTTTTGCGTCGTTCCATTCTCCCGCCTCTGTCCGCCCGTCGGACAATCGGCCTCATCATCGTTCGCCTCCTGCTGTTGCTGCAGCAGTCCCGCCAGTGCCGAACAAGACTTGGCCCTGCGTATCGGATTATCCGTCTCGACGCTGAACGATGCCTTCTTGGGCGCAGTGCTTCTGCCGTCGGAACAGGTTTCGTTGCCGCTGTAGCTGAACATTCGATTCCGCCGCTTCCTCTGCTGCAGCATGGTTTGCATGGATCGGCTGGTGGGCATGTGGAGGCCGCCGTCGCTGCACATGTTGCGATCCGTTTCGTTGCACTCGCCACAGAGGGCTGCCACCTCCTGCGAGGGTCTGCCCCCCCCAGCTGCAGTTAATTCCGAGTTGAGGCTCATTTCCGGCTGCACACCAGAAAGGGATCTCTGCTCTTGTTGGGCATTCGAACTGTGCCTGTCCTGGATGACCTGCTGCAGGCGACGCTCGTATTGTGTCGGTCCTCGCGTAACCTCCATGAATTTGGTGGTGGTGCCCTCCTCGGCCTCGCGGCTGATGTCCGGGAAATTGAACTGATTCTGAAGATCTTTGCGCATCGGCGACGAGGGTTGGCTGGATGGAAAAATTGCTCGCACGGCGTTGGAATTGGACATGGCCAGGCCATGCTGCTGCTGCTTCAGCTCCCTCAGGTCCTTTAGTGGCGTTGTCTCTGGCGTGGCCTCGACAGCAGCCTCTGGCGGCGAGGAGCCCGTCATGCCGATCATCAACTGGGAGTTCATCGATGGCTGCAGCGGCAATATGAACGATGTGGTGGGCGTCAGAGGGATGGCACTGCTGGTGGCGGGAATTTCATTCTGTGGACTCCAAATGGCCCCCAGCTCCCCTGAAGCCGACGAGTCGAAGCGCGTGATGGAATTCCGACAGTGCTGAAACTCTCTACCCAGTTGGTAGACAAATCCCTCGGTATTCGAGGTGTTCGAGGTCATCCGGCTGTAGCCCGGAGTCATGGGATAGGCGTAGCTGTTGTCATCGTTGCTCGACTCGTGCTGGAGCACGGGCAGCGACAGATTGGCACACTCCATGACCACGTCGTGGGGCTCCATTTCCTTCCATCGCGTATTATTCACCTCAGTCTCAGGTGTGTCGGTCAGCAGCATGGGATGCACACGGACCGTGTCCAGCAGTGGCTTAATCGTATGCTGAAAGACGCCACCGCCGTTCCCCTTCTTGATGAACTCCGCCAGGAAGGCCATGAAGGTGTTCGGGTACATGCCGTACAGCCGATGGAAGAGCATCTGCAGGCCCAACTGCAGATGGACGAGCTTCTCGTCGGGCAGACTCTTGCTATTCTGCAGCTTCCACGAGGCCAGATGGCCAAACACATCGAACAGATAATTGAAGAAATTCGGCATCGAATTTGGTATGATCGGCAGCAGTGTAATGATGCACAACAGGGCGCTCATCAATGGCACAATCTCCTTCTCGTGCTGCAAAACAGATTGACGTTACCCAAAATTTCAGCAAGAAAGGAATTCACTAACCATAAGCAGATTGAAGACTGTTTTGATAAGCCGATGACTCTCTATTTTGTACAGCCAGGTGGGATGGTGTCTGACGATGAAGCAGAAGACTTGCAGGCCCTGCACTCGCTGCTGCGGCTTGTTGAGGCACATGTCCAGGCGATCAAAGATGTAGCTATCGTGCGGCTTCTGGGCCTTGACCAGCACGTCCATGATGCGCTGAGATCCAGTTTTAAAGAAGTAGTCCAGCATAAAGTTCACAGCCCACGTTTCCTTGTCTAAGTGGCGACCAAATGGTGAATATATTCATATAAACAAAAGCTAGAACTTACTCTGCGTGAAGAGCTCCACAAGCTTCCTTTTGGCCTCCTCATTTTCGAGCGTCTGATTCGATTCCAGGTCGTGAAATATCTTTTCAAAGTCCATGATGGAGTATTCGGTGCGGTGCCACTACCCACTTCCCACTGCGCTCGTCTTTTGTTTTTTAGTTTTGTAATTGATTTTTTTTGGCTCCGCTCCGCTCCAGCGTGCTCCAGCCCGTGCTTCTGCTAATAGTACTCCCGCTGCTGCTTGTGCTCCACTGGCTGGAGGATGTGCTCTTCACTGGCTCGTCCACACACTCCAAGAAACCTATTGTCGTCGTCGTCGTCGTCGTGGTTGTCGTTTTCAGAGCTGCGTGTGCTTTTTCTCTTCTTCGTCGCTGTCAACTGATTAACAAGCATTTGCATGTAAACTTTTGCACCGTTTGATGCACCACGCACTGCTGGTGTCCTTGGTCGATCGCTGGATTCACTTACCTCTGCTAGTCTCATTTTCTTTACATGTTTGTCTTTAAAAAAGAAAAGGTAATTTCGCGTTTTCTATTATTTGGCCAATCGGGGTTCTATCCAGTGCTGCCAGAATTTCAGAGTCAATACAAGCTAGCTACAAAAATATGCCAAAACAATCCGAAAATATATAAGCTAAAAATTAAGCTAATCGAATTCTGCACCATTCAAAAAAACTATGGATATGCTGAATTTATTATTACAACGATGATTGAAGAATATCCTAAATTGAATTGAAGTTGAATATAAATTTGATATATTGTAAGCAGATTGCATCAGCTGTTTGCCATGCCACTTGTGCAGAGGCAAGTTCTAGCCTGTAACAAGCTAACAGACCAGCACTGGTTATACCACCCATCGATATCGAACTACCAGCTGTTTCCGTTCGATATATTATCGAATTCCGTATTTACAAAATGAATTATTTAATAGTCCGGCGACTATCCACACAGCTGAAATTAGCCCAGATTCCCAAACGGTATGGACGAAAGTAACCATAACTATAGCTAACTATAACTTTGCTTGCCACAGCAAATGGAAGAGCGTTGTGGGCTTGGAGGTGCACGCACAAGTTTCGAGCGCCTCAAAATTGTTCTCTGGCAGCGGCACATCTTTCGGAGCGGCCCTAAACACATCTGTGGCCTTTTTCGAT